AAATTTGGAGGTACTTGTACTTTACACTGAATACTTTAACTCAAATTTCAGAGTGAACTATTGCACTTTTTACTCCCCCACATTTATTTATCAGCCGGTTGTGGAAGAAGTAATCAGTAGCCTAGTAAAAAATATCACAATGTAGAAATAAAGTCAAAACCATAAGCATCAATGTTTATACCCTAAAAATAAAAGTACTCATTATGCAGAATGCCATATATCTTATGAAATTAGGATTGTTGATGCGTTCATGTGCACATCACTTAAATGTTGAAAATGTGTTTTGTTACTTTCCACCTCTGATTATATCAAATTCCGTCAAACAGCTGCACACAGGTCGTTTTGCACACAACTCGTGAAAATGCAGATTTCCCGAAAGCATTTGAAAGCAACACGTGTTCAGCCCTCTGCATGAGGTATGAGTACAGCGCTGACGTCACGTTCCTTCTAATTTGAATGAATACGACATGTGCAACAATCTCATCCTAAAATGATATTTCCTCCTCAGATTCAGTCGTTTTTCATTGTTTTCTACTGCGACAGCAAAAATAAAAGTTTCAGCCACTACGGGTAAAAATATGTTGCTGTGCTGATAACCAAGGTCACTCTCATTGCTGTTGTTCTTTGCATTTTCAAAGAAGAAACTAAATCATTTTTAATAACAGCTACATACTCATTAGAGAAGTCTGATATGTTATCCTCTCTGGGGTGTTAACTCAAAGCAGTGAATGACAGACGGCCATGTGGCTTCACTTTGATTTCTTCATACAGAGACAGCTCTGAACAGTCAAATTCATCCCTCTCATATTTGTCACACTTCTGATGGTATGTTTTCCATATCAGATCATCTTGTCTTACTGTTGGGAAAGCTGGGAAAATGTAATTAATGTAAAAGCCTGACTCTGAAACTTTTGGTTGATTCTTAAACACTTTAAAGAAACCTTCAACACATTAGAGGGTTGCTATATCTATCTACTTTCCCGTGCCGCATTTAAATGAGGGTATCTTAAAAGTGCATCAATTTCCTACAGCAAGGCTATTATTAATTCACAGGAAATGGGAAAGCTTGGAGAAAGAGCTCCTACTTGGGATTTCACTGCCGGCTTCCATGGAGCGTCATTGTTCCTTCCGATCCCGGCTTTGAAAAGGCTGTGGCTCAGGCCAAGAATGGAGATGATCTCATCCACTCCCAGCAGTCAGCAGAGGTGTCTGACTTAACTGAATCTCAGAGGAAAAATACAGCCGTTGGAGTGGTTTGTTGTGTTAAAATGCTTGTGTCGTGGCTCAAGGGATGGCAATGTCAGTCTGTTGGTCAACCACTTTGGTCCGGACCAAAACATCTCAATGTCTATGGGATGGATTGCCATGAAATGTTATAGAGACATTCATGGTTCCCCGATGCAACCTACTGATATTGGTGATACCCTTACTTTTCCTCTAGGGCCACCATGAGGATGATATTTAGTTCTGAGAGAAATATGTCTCAACAACTGCTTGATGGATTGCCATGAAAATAGGTGCATACATTCATGTTCCCCTCAGGATGAATTGCAATAACGTCAGTGATCCTCTGACATTTCATCAGGACAAAATGTTGTCCAATGTCTGTCCAATAGTTTGGTTCATGACCAAATACCTACAAAACTAATGACATTCTCGTCAGCTTCAGCTGCAGACCTTCTTTGTTAAAAAACTCTGTTTTGTCTTACTGCTGTGGGGACTAAAACGGCACCTCAGTCTTTTTCTCCACACCATCCCCCCTTCTTCCTCTCTGTTTCTCTCTGGTTCCTTTACCTAATCCGAGATGAAAGCACTTTCTGCTTCTTTATGAATGTGTTGAGTCAGCAATTGGCTGATCTGAAAGTGCACACTGCTGGAGAAACTTCAGAGCAGACTTAACATGCATATAATGTATACCGTTCTAGATTCCATTGCAGCAGCACATTAAATCATAGGTACAGACGTCTATGTTTCCCTTTAGCATGAATTGTAATAACTTTGGTGATCCCTTAACTTTTTATCGATTGCTATCGCCAGGTCAGTTTTTCTTTAAAATATCCAATACTTTGATTTATGGCCAAATACTTGCACAACTAAAAACATTCCCATCAGCCTCAGCTGTACCTTGTGTTTAGTGCTAGCAAATGTTGGCATGCTAACACGCTAAACTAAGATGGTGAACATGGTACACCTACACCTGCTAAACATCAGCATGTTAGCAAATTCACAGGATAACATTAGCATTTAGCTCAAAACATCACTGTGCCTAAATGGGCATTCAGATAGAAAACAACCCTTCATTACTGATTTTGTTACTTTCAGAAAGAGCCAGGCTAGCTGTTTCCCCTTGTTCCAGTCTTTATGCTAAGCTAAGCTAGCCTGCTGCTCACTGTTGCTTAATATTCAACAGCCAGATATGATAGTGTGATATCAACTTACTCATCTAAATTTCAGCAAGAAAGCGCACAACTGTATTTCCCAAAAACATCGAACAATTGCTTTAAGATTTGGGACTCTGTGAGGTTTTTGGGGCAGATTCTGAGTCACGATGATGATGAACGGAATTGGGTGCTTGACAGCGAGATGATTTACAGTCGATACTGCCTAGCTATCATATCAGACTTTTCCCCTCCTGCTGCTTTTGTTTTCTGAGTGGCATCTCACAGGAGCAGGGACGAGGCTGGTCTGCCTTTGTGCAGGAAAACATAAGTAGGAAGGGAGCTGTCGACTCCCATTTTTGCTGCCTCTCATGGAAGACACAAGCACTGCTGCAGTGTGGAATCACAGCCAGAGAGAGAGAGATGTGTGGGTCTCTGGGAGGATGACCTACTTTTGCTCCCCTCTTTGGGCTGCTGGAGAGAGCTGCGAGTTGCACTGCTGAGCACACAGCTTGCAATGTTATCCCTTCTGACTGCAGGTGCAATGCTCAAGACACTACCAATGAGGCATGTACAGATGCCGCATGATTCTTCTGTATTATGCATGTCTTCCATGTTCTTCTATTTCAAATCAATTTTAATCTTGACATAGGACTGCTGTACTCACTCTCGTGGCGATGTGTGTGTGTATGAACTAAGTGTACTTAGAAGATGGATGGAAGTATAAAGAACATACTATAATGATCATCATAGTATTGTAGTATTTGTGAAATACTGTTTATGCTTTTGACAGAGCTCTGCAGACTTCTCTACAGTTAAAGGAGGAGAATATATACGTTTTAGACGAATGAGATGTGAGCTTTAAAATAGTTAATTGTGGTTCCCAGTGTGGGGGTCGGGAACCAAATAGAGGGTGACAAGATGATGAACTGGATCGGAAAGCATAAAAAAACCAATGTCTGCCCCACCAAATCTTTGCTTTTTCATGTGCAGTACTGTATAATTATACCTCTAAAATACTCAAATAAAACAAGGTCTTTGGTGGAACTGGTCATAAGCAGTAGATAGTAGACATCAGTGACAAGGGGTCACAAGTAGACAAGTGTCAAAGCAAAGACGTTGCAAACCACTGAACTAAAGGATAGCGCATGTTGTGATAATAATACTCGTTTTAATAAATCATATTCTCGTTCTGCATACTGGGTCACATACAAAAGCCCATGATACATGACCTTTCTGGGTTTGAAACCCTCCTTTTACCAGAAGCTGTTTGCAGTCATGCTAACATCACTGCTGACTTATTTAGCAGCCCCGCCAAAGCACATTTGCCAGTGTAGCTAATGTCTCTAAGCCAAAGTGCCTCTCTGCCTCTGCAGCTGTAAGCATCGCTCCTGGGGGTGTTACAACTTCCAGCATCAGTTCCACTGCATCAGCAAAATAACTTAAGGGTGGAGGTGGAGGGGGTCCATGCTTTTAATTCAGCTATATGTTTTAATGGTTCTCTAAAAAGTAGATGGTCTTACATAAATGCAGAACCCATATTACCCATTTAAAACGTACAAGGTCTACAATACACAAGAAAACCAAAGACTTAATTAAAGGAATATTTCAACATTTTTGGGAAGTACTCAAAATCCCCTTCTTTCTGAGAAATGAGCAGAATGATACATTTCATAAATAATATGAACTAAAGCCAGCATGTGGTTAGCTTAGCTTAGCATAAATAATGGAAGTATGGGGAAACAGCTAGCCTGGAAAGACTACAGCCATGTGTGTGGCTCTGTTAAGCTGTAATGCCAACATAAACTGTTAAAGAGTTAAATTAAGGAACTTGACATATTAAAAGTGTTTTACTTTTGGACAGAGTCAGGCTGATTGTTTCCCTCACGCTTCGAGCTAAGCTAAGCATATAGTGTCCTGACTTTAGCTCCATATTCCGCGTACAAACATAAGAGTGGTATTGAACGTATTTCTCCAAAAGTCAAACTATCCCTTTAAAGTCTCACCGTGTTTTTAATGACAGTATAGGTGAATAAAACACATTTAGGGAATTCACGTGTGTGGAAAAATGAATGCACAACAAATTATGTATTTGTGAACCACTCATTAGCACCATATCAGGTCACATAGCATGTCAATCTTTGAGAACACACTTTACTAATAAACAGACTCTCAGCGAGTCATTAGAAGTTTTGACCTCATCTCTTGTGTGTTAATCGTGTTAGATTGAGCCTAATTACTGAAAGGAGTCACAAGCTTTACACCCACTGGCCCAGCTCCTCATCCACTCTGCAGTGTGTTGTTCCCGTCAGTGATTCCTGTGAGGGAAACTGTGACAGGATCCCCATAAAGTGTGGATATGGGTGAGTACTGGGTCAAAGCTGGAACAGCAACAAAGGAAAGTACTATTCAGGAAGCCTGTGTCACTCTGTCAGCTAGATTCGTATCAAATATAAAAAACAAAAATGTTCTCCTGGCTTTGGCATCATATTCAACGGACAAAAGAGTGTGGAGATTAAGCATATTACCTCCCAAATAAGTGAAAAACAGTAGCGACGAGGAGCTGCTCTCTGGTGATTGTAAGGTGATCGCCATGAGATAAACCAACAAACAAGGAACTGAGGGCTTTTTTGTGTAAACTTGTCTTGAACATTTTTGTTAATTTCAACAATTTTGCTCAGCAAACACGTTTGGCCGACAAAGGTGAACATTTGTTTTTACTGTGCCCATTGTTTTGAGGGGAAAAGTAGGGCAAGATGAGCTGCAGGCTTAAGTACCCGCCCACTGAATCATAACACACGCTGATAATAAAACACACACACACACACACACACACACACACACACACATACATATACACACAGATCAACGTTGATACATATGAGCTATAATATCTGAACTGTCATATCAGAGTTATTTTGGTGGAAGGATTACTTGCATCTCTCAGAAACTGGCTCTGATTTTTAAGGCAGTCTGATTCAACAGACAATAGATTTTGGACATCAAAGGAGGGATTTAATATCAGATGACCAGAAACAACAGACCTTCGGGTTCGGCTGAACAAGATCCTGAGAAATGAGACTAAAGGCTGGTGTTGCTAGGCGATGGCCTAGGGCTTGCTGGAGGAGGGATGAGGAAATCCTGCAGAAGAGTAGAGGAGCCTCAGAAACTCCGGTTGCTTCACATACTTTATTTGGTCTAGGTCCACCTACGATCTTCGTCCACCCAAACCGTGCTACCTGAACCAAAGTAACTACACTGATGCTCAAGGTGCTTTAGACTAAGAGCTATTTATAGTTATTCACTTTCACGGTCTGTCGGTCCACATTGAAATATCTCCAGCGCTATTTGATGGATTGCTATTAAAGTTTGTACATTCATGTTCCCCAGAGGATGAATCCTACTGATTTTGGGGACTCCCTTACTTTTATATCAGTGTCATCAGCAGGTCAGAGTTTTCCCTTATCTATTAAAATATCTCCACATCTACTGAATGGATTGACACAAAAGGTTTGATGTATTGAGATATTCATTGATTGGAATTTGTAAAAGACATTAATGTTCAACCGGCATTATGATGACATTACCTCCAGCCTCAGCTGTAATTAATGCTTAGTGCTCCTTAATATTAGCATAAATGCTGAACTAAGATTGTGAACATGGTTAATACCTGCTGAACATCAACATGTTGGCATTAGAAATTATTGTAAGAAAAGTTGCATGTCGAAGTTAGCATTCAGCTCAAAGTATCGCTGGAAGTACAGCTTCTCAGAGGTGAGAGTGGCTGTAGACTCTTAGTCATGTTTCTAAAATGCAGTATTTAAAAAGATGCGTTATTGTAAATGCTTGCGTTCAGCTTCTACTTTGGACATATCGACATATGATTGTGTATTTTGTAGATTGGAGGTGGCTTACTCTGAAGAAACTCATTTTACAAAGCAGGTAATTAAGTTTATATCTAATTATACAACAAAAAATCGGATTAAAAAAAGATCGATTTAAAAAGTGAGCGGCTATGGCCGAAGAGGTACAGCAGGTGGTACATTAGTCGTAGTGGTTGGTGGTGAGCCACAATGTTGCAGTGGGTCATTTCATTTACATGAACACACACACACTGCAGTTTAGTTTGGCTTAATCCCACATTCTCCATCCTGCTGCCATAAATACTCACTATAGCACCCAATGAGTATTAATCCTACACTGAAAATAAATGCACTATTTACTCCTGTTAGATTTACCTCTTCGGTAGTAACTAATGGACCGAATGCTACAGACCGGGTCGGCTAGTTATACAGTGCTGAGAGGCGGAAAATGGTATTTTCATGGGATTTATTGACAGTAAGAAAAGTATAGAATGTCAGACTTATCTTTGAACTAAAGTAAAACAAAAACATTCAACTTAAGATGAAACAGTATTACTGAAATAAACAACTTCTTCCTCTGGTCAGGTTCATGTCTATAACACACTGCTGACACCATGTGGTAATGTATGACAGGAGCGCCTTCATCAGGAACTGATGACACACACTGAACAACAACTCTCCTCTTGCTGTCAGGAGCTCACGTAGAATGCTTCCTTCTTGTCTTTAACTCTGTGAAACACACAAAACAGATGATGTCGAAGATAAAATAATGTACCGACTCTTGAAGCTAAGGGGAAGTGAACTAACACTTGGTAACTTACAGACCGCAGCACTGCTGGTGTCACTGTGAGGAAGTGCAGCTACTTCAACTGCTGTTACTGCAGGCTTTGTTGCCCGTAACAGGTATCTAGGTACATGCTGGGAATAAGAACAAGAAACAGATCATTTATGGAGATTGAATTTTGTACTACATATTTAAGGTTACTGAAAATGAGGCGCAACTTCTTGTGCAATCAAATTATAATAATGCACCATGTGCTGCACTTTTTCTTTCCTTTTATCTACTTTTTTATGAATTGGGTGTATAGTATAGCACTTTTAATATCTTAAACTGTCTTATTGTGTTTATATGCCGCAAAAGGGATAAATTCAGAAACACTGACTTTCATTGTGACACTGAGAAAGACTCGTATCTGGCTGATAAGATCATTATTGCCCCATTGACTCAGCGTATCAGATCAAACCATTCCTATTTTTTTATTAATTTAAGTTAAGAAGTATTCAAAACCCCTGGGCTGAAAATAATAACTCAGTCTTTGAGTATGACCTGAAAACTAATCACTGACACACCACTGAGAAAGGACTCCCAGCTAGAAGAGTATCCACAGAGGGCTTGAGCTCAAGTCTTTGTTAGGAGAGGAAAAACATTCACACGGATGTCCTTGAGTGAGTAAACAAAGCGTTGTCTCTACTAGAAGATTATTTAGTTACTTACAGCCACCTGAAGACAGCACTCTACCACCTTAAAAAAGATGAACCCAAGGTGGCAGAGAAGCTTGTTTCAGACAGTAACCACAAACACCAACAGCAAGAGACGATGCACCATGTGTCAGTTGGTTGATTGCAAGAAATGTGGTTCAATGCCACAGCGGTGCCCATACAGTGAGGGGATCTGACAAACAGCTTGAGGAGTTTTTCTTTGCCCTAGTTACTTGAGGTAACCTAAATGAATAATGCACATGGGGTAGAGATAAACAGACGTTACTCTCTCAGTGTGATGTTCAACTTACCCAGGAAGTTTGGGGATTGGCGCCGGCTCTGCTCTGGATCCTCTGACTGTGTCGTCGATCAGCGGAGCTGCTCGGACGATTTACAGTGGAGGGACGAAGGCGACTGCTGGTAGATGAGGTTTGATCTACTTCAGCTAGGAGGTCCGTCAGTTCTCCATCACTGATCTCATCCTCCACCACGGAGCCATCTGTGCAGGGACACATTCACATCATGTGTTTAGACAATTTAGATATGTTCCTTTATTTTATCCATAGTGTGGATGAAAGGATACAAAAACACCTGTGTGGTCCTTTAAAGAAGGAGGCAGCTACAATTTCCTCAATCAATTCATTTGCAAAATAATAACAGAATTATGTGTGTATTTAAGGTGCCAGATACCTACTTAGTTAAGAACAAAGGTTTACCTGTATGCTGGGGAGTGACCGCACACTCAGCACAAATCCAGTCACCTTCTGGGCCAGTGTTTAGTGATGGAGTCAAGCAGTCCATATGATACCTGGAACAAAAAGTGCAACTGTGATTAAGTACCTTTAACATATATTTCCCAGCAGCTGCAGCAGAGACCGTAGGAGTTTGAGTGGTCAAAGTCAGTGAAGTACAACTAACTATTGTAGTGAATATAATGCTGTTGCTATGACTGAAATAAACACCAGTATGTAGTGAAAATGAAAGACCAACATCCCCCTCGAGAGGACTGTAATGCCGTACCCTGAATCACAGTGTATGCACATTAGCAGCCGGTGCCTGCGGTCGCTGCGTCCACATTCCTCGCAGATAACAGTGTTGTTCCCCTCTTCTTCTTCCTCATCATCGTCATCTTCCCTTTTCTTTGTCCTCACTTTGATCTGCAGCAACAACGCAAACAGTTTAGCTCCCCAAACACTGCCCACACGTTTCAAAAAGCTTCCTTCAGGACACTGCAAAATAATCACCTTGTTTTGGATCGGCCCTCCAGGAAACCGTCTCTGGTGGATGAAAGCAAAACTGATCCGATCCACGGGACAAGTGTTGGCTGTCTGGGAGTCAAGACGGAGCAACATTTGTACAACAACAAAACCGTGATGCTCCTGCAGCTTTGACAAAATAGTGTTTTACAATTTGATTCAGTCTGTACAGAGAGAAGAAAAGGTAGTGTGAAGCCAAAGTGAAGGCTCATACATATATTATATGTAACAGTGCTGCAATTAATGATTATTTTCATCATCTTTCCTCAATTAATCCATTAATTGTTGTGTCAAAATGCGAGAGCTTTAGATTACAGTCTAAAACCCAAAATATATTACATGTGCAATGATACGAAACAGAGAAAAGCAGCAGATCTTCACATTTGAGAGGCTGGAGGCAGATAACCGTTTGGTATTTAATTGATTAAAAGAGATAATTGATTATTAAAATTACTGAGTCAATCACTTAATCATTCAGCTGTAATCTCTAATGTCTTTTGACGTGGTATTGAACTATTGATATGTCACTGCAGCAGAACAGTGAGCCATGAAGGTGGGATAATTAGCCTTATTTTTAAGCACAAGTCAACTTTCCAGTGGTATTGCTACACCTTCTCGGCAGAATTTAAGATACATATCATTCTGATAAAAGTAAGTGTGGTAAAGACAGGACATATTTTGCTGGACAGGAGAGACAGGTGAAGTGTATGTTTACCTGGGACCACTGGAGTATACAATCAATGCAAAAGACATGCTGGCAGTTTTCCAGAGAGGCTATTATTTGCTTTTCAAAGGGGCTCAGACAGATATAACATTTATCTTCAGCCTCTCCACCTGCTGCGCTTACCGCGGTGGACTTATCCATATTTTAAATATTACTGGACAAGAAAATTACTGTTTACTGTGACGACGCTCGCTAAAGTAAAATTTAAACACAAATCCACTGTTGTATCAGATTTTTTTTGTGAGCATGAACGTTACATTACCGTTAATGATAACAGCTAACGTTAGCTAAGCTAGCTAGGTTCGCTTGGTGGCAAGCATAACAGGATCGTGTAGCTAGTAATACCTTCTTATATAGCTACAGTCTATGAGTAATACACTTTAAACTAGTTGTGCCTTTTAGCTAGCTGTTACAGCACATATTAACTAGCAATATAAAATTATTATAATTCGCCTGTAAACCGAAACATCTAACTGACACATTTTAATTCACTCCATGTTCCGCCGTACTCAAACAACTTCCGGTCTTATTTTTTCAAAATAATACGTCACATCTACAATTTTAACATTTAAGTTTTTTGGAGCCAAACCATACCAAAATGTATTGAGTCACAATTTTACTAACTCATTTGAGAGAAGAGTATCTGAAATGTTACTACAAATTACCAACCTAATGCTATATTAATAATGCAACAGGATTTGTGACAAATATCATTATATCATAGCATTACAGAAAGCACGAGCTCCTGGAGGACATAGATATGGATGTTATGTGCACAAGATATTATTTTGTTTACAAAAGATCCATATTCATATCTTGCAATAACTTCATTAACAATTAGCAATCATACAGTGTGTGGAAATCTTGGAAGAACAAAAAAAGAAAATGTGAAGCATGCTTGACCTCTATGTGCATTTTGTGTGATTATGTCAAGCTACGCAAATTATGAATACACTCGTAAAAGCAGACTGTGTGCATATTCTAGTGTCATCATGCTATGGCTTCCTGCCCCTCTCTAAACTCCACTCCTACAGTACACTGAAACAGGAAATTAAGACGCCTTTGCAAAGAGCAGCATTGCATATGCTCACTGTATTCAGAGAGGAGCTGTTCAACCAATGTGCCGCTACAAACGAAGCTATTATCTCATGTGTTGTCAACATACAGTGTAGCTTTCTGCATTTGGAGATAAAGCAAAGTAGTCAAGCGAAGTACCTTGGTAAGTGTTTTTTTCCTAAACTCTTTTTGTTTTATTTCAACATGTGTATAGTCTAGGTTTAGTTTGTGTAAAGAATTTAATGTTCATCTAATGTTTCAGAAAAGTTGTAAGTGAATGCTACAGTAAGTTTAAGTAACTTTTATGGTTTTTAAAAAGTGATCAGTGTGTCACTGCTATTTTTTAAATAAATGTAAAGTAGTAATTACATGTGTGAGTAAATGTTTACTATGTGTTAAAATGTCCTCCCTGTTTTCCTTGTTTTCAGAAACATGAACAATACAGAACAATGTAGTCAGCTTCTGGAACAAAATAAAAGAAAGAATGACTAAAATAGATTTGTGTCAAAGGTGGTGAAAAAGTGAAAGTGGAAAAACTCTGGATGGAAACACGTTTGTGTTTTTCACAGTAACCAATGCAGCAGCGTTTATGAGAATCAACCTACACTCACTGACTTTCATTTGACAAAACACTGCAATGATGAATGTGACAGGTGGCGACTGCAGTACCCCCTCAGCAGAGTACCAGTACTACTTCTTCCCAACGGTCTACATCCTCGCTTTAGTTTTAGGTCTACCAGGAAATCTGGCTGCCCTCTTCGTCTTCACCTTCAGGACCACACCCCGCACAGCCTTCAGTGTTTACATCAGCAATCTCGCTCTGGCAGACATCGTCATCCTCTGCACGTTGCCCTTCAAGATCCACTACCACCTCAACAGAAACAACTGGGTGTTTGGGGATGTCGTTTGCCGTGTCACTGGTATTATGTTCTTCGCCAACATCTACATGAGCATCTGCTTCATGACTTGCATCTGTGTGGATCGCTACATGGCCACGATACACCCGCACAGCTATTTGAGGCTGCGGAGCCCCTGGTGCTCCCTGGTTGTGAGTGTGGTGCTCTGGTGTGTAATTGTAGTGGCTATGCTGGTCTTTGTCCTCCTGGGACCCCTGGAAACCAACGCAGACGGATCCGGAAGCCGCAGCTGCTTCGAGAACTTCGCCAAGAGAGAGTGGAACACGCGCTTGGCGGTGTACAGCCTGCTGTGCCTGATCTTTGGCTCCCTGCTGCCCTCCGTGATCATCCTGGTGTGTTACCCGCTGGCTGCGAGGCGCATCTCCATGATAAGGACTAAAACAGCCCAAAAAGCCGTGAGGGTCATTTACACCATCCTGGCCATAACGCTGCTCTGCTTCCTGCCCAACCATGTGGTGTACCTGCTGCACCTCCTTCGACGGATGGAGGTCATCCAGAGCTGCTACTTGGCCAACGCCATCTACAACGCCAGGCGGTTCACTATGGCGCTCGTCATCCTCAACACATGCCTGGACCCCGTGCTTTACTACGTCACCACCAGCCACTGCAAATGGAGGCAGTTAAAGATGGCATGGCTGTGGGGAAGAGTCCGGAGAAGGAGGGGTGTCTATACCATTGCAGTGAGCTGAAGGGTAACGGTGTATGCATGTTGTAAATATATCTCCTTATACGAGTCATTGTTTATTTAAAAAAAAAAAAAAAAGAAAAAAAAAAAAAAGAAGTGTTTATTGAAACTGACTTTGTACATCAAAATAAAAGGGACGAATCAGACTTTGATTTTCTTATTTTCCTCATCCTCAACGAGTCTATGACAGAGTCTCCTACATCACTTAAAGAAGAATGGGCTAATAAGGATCACTATCCCAACACTAGAAGAGAGCAAATTCAAAGTTTACAGGTACAAATATGTAATCCTCAGTTTTCAGCCTCCACAAATCCAGGTTCAAAAGAGTGAGAGTACATGAATTACTTTTAGTGGGAATTTTCCTTCAAATGTTTGTAGTTTTGGAACAAAAGATATTTCAGCAGAGTCCAGATGGAAGCCCCTTTTTCAGCAGAGTTGATAGGAAGCTGCCGAGGTCCTCGTCCTGACAAAAACAAAAACAAATATAAAACAAACATAAAGTCAAAGCGGAAGCATTGGAAGGAAAGACAAAGCACCATATTTTTTACTTTAACACATGTTGACATAAACACATACCTCGAAAGAGGTATCAGTACATAGACAAATCGAAGAGGACAGACAAAAAGTACTTTTCAATCGTAACTCATAGATATACGTCACTGCGGCTCCCAAATTTTCTTTTACCTGATGACACCTTAAAATTAAGCAGTTGCTACTTGCAACCCCTTGTTTCTGCACACAGTATGTCATACACTCTAAAAAGGTTAACTATGTGATATTCCACAAAAAAGAACAAGCATTGACGAAAAGTCGAACCATTATCGTTTAATCAACAGATTATGTTCGCAAGTAATTGTTTGGTCTAGAATATGTCCGAAAATACTGAAATGTCTGAAAAACTGCTTCAGACTGCTTTTTTTGTCTAAAAAACACAAAGATAATCAGTTTACAATAAAATAACATAACAAGGCAGAAAAATATATTTGATCAGCTGAAAATAATGAATGTTTGGATATGACAAAGAGGCAGACATGTTTATATTTTACCCTTTGTGCTTTGCACGGCGCACATGAAGCCACAGAACCCACTCACCTTCCGTTGCGCAGTGACAACAGCAAGGTTTCCCCACCTTCTACTTGTAATTCAAAGCCCCTACTCTCATACTGTCTGCCCACATATGTTTTTACTTCTTGATCAACCTTTTTTCAGGGCCATTAGGGTAGATAAACATTGTTTCACTGATATTTCGCTAGCGGTGCGGTCTGACCAGGTTTTACCCAAAACAAATGCACTCACGTGCTGCGGCGAAAAGGATCTGGGACAGGAAGTAGTGTGGGCTGGCAGTTTTAATCATCACTCATTCATTTAAAATAACAGGGAGCAAATGTTGCCCTAACTTTTTGCACAAATAATCTTAGTTACTAGTTCCCTACTTTTATTGACTATGCAAATATCCTACATGGACTCTGTGGGTCTACTTGACCCGTTGCTATTTGTCCGGAGGGCTGGATGATGCAGCCGCCACTGCTGCTCAGCTGTCTCAATAAGCACCTTGAGGGCACAAAAACTCATGCAAGACTGATATTTATCCCCACAGGGTTGTGCCTTATTCACACTTCTTTTTATTACATTAACAGATGACGCAGAGGTTGAAAGTTTCACAGAACTGACTCTTCGGATATGCCTGTGGTTAGCGAGGTTGTACGGTGGTGTGATGATCACTATCTGAGACTATTTATAAAACCAAGGATATGTTGACCCTCTCAGACCTTGTTAAAAGGAGGAAAAGTGGAAATTGTGGATAGCTATAAGTACGTGGGTGCTTGTTTACAATCAACTCTACAAATATCTGACCACTTAAGGCCTTTTGGATCTGTTTCAATATATATTTATTTCCATGCCAATGAATTACTCCTGTATAAAGATTTTAAAAAAGTGCTAAGTTTTTGGTGCTGAGTGGAAAAGAAAAGTCTCATCTTAAAACAACAGATGAAGTAAGAATCCTTGATGTCATTCTCAATGTAAAAAACAAACAAACCAGTTACTTATTATTAATATTTTAACATACGTATTGTAATGTCCTTATATCTGACCTGCCAGTTTCCTTGGGACAAGTTTACTTGTCTTATTGTGTTTCGGTATTGCGTTTATGTTTTTATGCTGTAATGTGCAAAGTTTTTAAAAGACCATTTAGATGACAAAGTAAAATTAAATCCGTGACGCAAAGACGATGAACATATTTTACCTGATAACTCCAGGAAAGCAGCAGGACCTTGGTGTTGGCGTCTTCAGCAGAGGAGGAGACTTTGATGACGATGGACTCCACCATGACTGTACCATCGGGGAGGTGCTGGATGGTGTAGCCTTTCAACACGCTGAAGCAGACAAATGCAAAAAAACGAGGGTTTATAATAGATGGTATCTTACATGTCACAAAATGCAGTGAAGTATATCACAAATATAATAAAATAATTGAAAATGAACTAGACACGCAAACAAACGACAATGGAGGAAAGTCGAGAAAGTGGCTGGTGTAGGTGATAGTAGATTAGAAAGTGGACGCAGGAGGCCCGGTGAATCTCCTCCTCCTGCAGTGCTGCTCTCACCTCTTGAGGTGTGCGTAGATTCTGTGAAGCGTGTCGGAGTCGCTGTGCGGGTCCTGGAGCTGCACGCGGCAGGTGAAGCGTAACTGATGTTCGTTGAGGCCCAGCTCCTTCAGGGCCTGCTCTGACGACACCAGCTTCAGACTCTGTGCTCGGGGAAAGACAACGAGGAGTTGCACCATCATCTGCCACTAGACTGCAGGTCACACAAGTATTTAAAAAGTGTAAAACAGCAACAGACTTACAGAAGTATTTGAACTTACGTTTTCTTTCATGATCAGGGTTCCATGCATGGTACGGGGCTTTTTGGGATCAGGAAGCGGCCCTTCAACACAAGAATGGTTTAGAACATAAATAAACAAACAGATAGAAGTCTTCGGCGTAGATTTGGGGGCTGCTGATTGTCCCTGCCAATATTTTCACAGATCTCAGCGGGTTGTTATGAAGAAAGAGCAGATACTTGACCTGACGATCTGGCAACCCGCTGTACTACGCATCGTCAGGAAGAAGAAGTCCGAACAGTTATGAATGGTCGGCGGTTTGAAGTGGTTTGTATTATACTTTAAATGTTTCAGACATTGTAGAACTGAAAACATTTTTGGTCGATACAACCAACATTAGTCTGATATTATATTCAAATTTGAGGCGTAAGGTGTTTGTGATTATTGCCCAGACTTTGGATTTTATCAAACAACTTTATTACTGTGCCTGCATAGCGACATAAATCATACACAAGTCAGAATCTTCAGACAAGTCAAATTCTTTGTATGTGCAACATACCTTGGAAAATAAGCGGTTCTGATTCTGAAACTAGACAAAAAGTCAAGAAAGAGGATGGAAAACCATCATTGTACTTTCCTGATAGGTGGCACTTCTCATTTCGTATCTGGTTTTACAGTCTATCATCTCACATACATGACATTTGCCAATTTGGGTTATGATATTTAGGTGACACAGGCCATGTACACCACTCTGAAAAAACACTTCAGTCTTCAACAAATGTCAGGAATAAACAGAATTGTGAAAGTGAAACTGCATAGGCACCCTGGAAGCCATCGTGACCAAAGACAAAACTTTGTGCCATTTTATTACTCCTTAGGTTGTGAATTAAACCAAACTAATTCCTTAACAATCAACAAAACGTACCTCCGAGAGCCATCTCTCGCTTGAGCAGGTTGAGTGAGATATCCACAGGCACGCTGGGATTTGTAGTCACAGTCACTGTCTCTCCGTTGGCTGGCATGTGGCAATCTATGCCTGCCATTCAAAAAAAAAAAAAAAAGACATTAACAGCACTGACAACGCCTTCTCCTTATCCTACTGTGGGCATGCAAACTTTTAGCAATGACTTTTAACGGGCCTAACATTATCAATGTGGATGGAGATGCACTTACTGAACTCCTGTTCAATCTTGCCCTTGAGGAACTCCATCTTCACGGCCTCCCCGTGTACCAGCAGCATGTTTCGAGGCTCAGCCATGCGAATGAGCTGCATGATGCCCTTGGCATCTGCATGGGCACTGAAGGACATGTACTCCACCTGTAGCTTCACCTCCAACTGTAAGAATCACAGAAAATGAAGTCAACAGGTATTGTTAAAGGAGTAGTTTGATTTCTTGGGAAACACACTTATTGGCTTTCTTGCTGAGAGATAGATGAGAACTCTCTCTCTCATAGTTTCATTAAATATGGAGACAAATATCTTCTTATCTTATCATAGACTGAAAGCAAGTGAAAACAAACTAGAAAGACTGTCTAAATCTCAGTAATAGAGTGCTGCAGGAATGAGTCCTAAAACCCGGAAATGAGTCGGCATTTTTGCACTCCCTCGTCTCAAAGTCAATGGAGTCCTTGAATGTTTTTTTGGTTAGATACCAGAAATAAGTTCTGTGGTTAACAGAAGCTGTAGAGATTTAAACATTTTGTTCTATGACATAAAATGTCAGTAAATAACCTAACCCACTCGTGAATTTTGCAGCTTTTACGTGTTTTAAAAAAGTATGCTAACAAGTGACTAACTGAGACTACTAAAGATCATCACGCCAAACTGTAATCCGCCTTTGACTTCGTGGTGTTGATGTGAAATTATGTTTGTTTAAGTTTGTTTATAGCCTAACTTAAGCTTTTTACTTCTGCCGATTGCATTTATGCTTCAAAAACCATAAAACTGGTCTTCATTTGTGAAGATTATCTTAATGAACAGAATGTGTTCGTATCATAAACCTTTGTTTACCGCAGAGTTTATTTTCTGCAATAATCCAAAGTTCAATTGAAAAGTCCCTTTGGCTTTTTGTGGAGGGAACCAGTGCAATGCTAACTTCAGAGTTGGCCAACAAAAAAACGTCATCTTTGCAGCAATCTATAAGCATGTTATAACTCATTTGTTTACTCTGAACACAAAAGTGTAACAGTAACATGTTGTGGTTTTATCAAGAGTTATGGAGAAAAGAATAGTCCCACACATAACCACGTTATTTAGTTAGTGAACAGTAAAGGCATAAGTAGGCAGATTTTGTGATCCCATAACTGACAGAGATGAAAGGGAAATTAAAAACTCTTACTGTTGATCTCCCTTCCATTTCCAGTTTCCTCTGCCCATTTAGGATCTTGTGACCGATTGTTCCTTGTACACAATACCCAGGCATGATTACCTAAAAGAGGCAGAACTAGTTGTTAAAAAAAAACCAAAAAAAAACATAAAAAACATCTTCTGTTGTCTCTTCGAGACTCACCATGTTTTTCTCATGGCCAGCCCATTTCTTGAAGATTTGCAAAGACTGGCCAGCATGCAGCATACCTGGTGTGGCAAACACCACCTGAAAGTGCACACATTGTTGTAGTTCACTGCCATTTAAACTTTTTACACATCGGAGGAAAAAGAAACAACTTACCATCGGCCCAGGATTATCAGCGTAGGAGCGATCAAACGGCTTGATGTGCTTAAATTCAAACATGTTTCTCTGTACAAAGGTTTTTCGAATCTTCTGGTTGGTCCATGTTATGAAAAGCTTGTAATAATGATTAGCTTTCTCCGTCAGCCCAGTGGAGAAGTAGATCGGGGCCTTTAGGTTCATTCTCTCCCTGTTTGAGGAGAGGAGCTGATTAGAGTGTCTGTCCAATGAGTCGGCACTTGTTATAAAAAAAGTTTAAAACAGAATACCACCATTATTCTATCAAGCGTAGTAAAATGAATTCAGCTATTTAAGAGACATTTATTTAATTGGAAAATCAATATGTGTTATAACTTATATAGGGACCAGTGAGTACCTCCACACATCACTTTCACTATCATCTTTGCTGTCTTATTTATAGCTTAAGCTAAATTCACATAAGCTACAGACAGTTTATGTGAATTTCACTTCTTTTGAAGAACAAACCTACCAAAATGTTTCCAACAGGATGCAGAGTTCTTGTGCTCTCCCGAGGGCAAAAACTGGAATGAGAACCTGAAAAGATGAGAAAACTAAAATTTGAAAATAATCCCTCCGTGATGCAATATAAGACAGAAAGTAAACACCCCAAAACACAGAAATTCCACTAACTCTGAAAATTACCTTTCCTCCTCTTTCTATGCTTTCATGCACTTTCTTCAAAAAGTCCCTCTCTCTGCATCTCTTTGAGTCCCGGATGGTGGTGGCATATGTAGACTCTGAGATGAGCATGTCTGGACGGCACTTGTCGATCCACGCCGCACTGCAAATATACAAACACAAGGATGAAGAGACTGTAGGCATAAACTCCAGCATATAATCAATATATACAGCAAAGGCCACTTACCCTAAATGCCTGTCAGGTGTCATGTTATAGTCTCCCTAAAAATGAAAAGACATTATTCTGAGAACCTGTCTGTCAAATTCCCTCTCTGATACAGTGCAGACTTGTTTACACTCACCGTGTAGACCACAGACTCTAATCCCACTTTGATGTGCACCATGGCAGCTCCCAGGACATGGCCTGCATAGTACGCCTTGATCTCCAGCTCATCATCCACCTGCCAGCAGCACAACAGAAACAGCTTGATTTGCCATCAAAAGAGACGAGCAGCTGAAACCGAAATGATTAATGGGCGGATATCTTCAAAAATGACGTGAGCACTGCACCTGGACGGTTTGGTGCAGGTTCAAAGGTACCACTTTCTTCATGCAGTCCTTGATCATCTGCGAGGTAAAGAAGTTGGTTTCTCCCTTTTTGTCGACGGTGATCTTCCGGAAGTCCTCCAGCAAGATGGGACAGATGGCCTTGGTGGGATGGGTCATGTAGATGGGTCCATCGTAGCCCACCATCTCACTCATGAAGGGCAGAGCGCCACAGTGGTCCAAGTGGAAATGGCTGAGAAAGGAACAGGTAGCCATGTAAAAAAACAACAACACCGGATTGTTTTATTTATTCTATCTATATCGGTGAGAGAGAAATGACACAACAAACCTGATGATTACACAGTCCAGAAAATCAGTCAGACGCCCATTCTGGGTTATGTAAGAAAAGTCTGGGAAACGTCTCTGCAATGACAACACAGATTTGCGTTTAATTGGGATTAGACTGTAATTTATCTTCTCTACAAGGTCCAAATCATATGAAACTCATAATATGTCTTAAAAATACGTTTTGAGGCTAATACATTCAAAACAAGACTATAAAGACTCTAATGTCAAAGCGATGGTTAGCCAGACCAACAAAACCCCTTAAAGCAACCACCTGGTGATGAAACTGCAGGTGTTTAAAAACATTTATGAAACGAGAGATGGGTGTATGTGGAGATTGTATAATGAGCATCCTTATAGGATGATTCTGTTAGAATTAAATCTGCATGGCACAACTTTCATGTAATGCAATGATTTCTGTAATCAGACACAGCTGTCTTTGTTGTTATCATGATTAAGGGGCAAAAGTCTAAGGTTTTATGTCAGGCTTCAACTTAGTGCACAACAACTTGCTTGTGTTAGCTAAGTCGTTTTAAAATGTATGTTTATGTTGCCGTTTATCTTACCAGGATATTTGTCTTTTGAAATACAAGCTAGTTGACTTACATCATCATTGTATCCCATGTGCATCCCACAATCGAGCATTATGTTTTTGCCTCCGATAGAGACGAGGATGCAGCTGCGGCCGACGTCCTGTCCAGCACCTTGGAGAGGGAACAGTGAAGTTGAGAGAAAGCTTTAAAAAACAAAACACACTAAGTTAGCCTCGCCAGCTAAAATAACAGCTGCTGGCAGTGACGGGTGAAACTTACAAGGTGTCTTTGACCATCACAACAGAAAATACACAAGTTATTACTGCTCAAAGAGCGCCAGACATTGTAGCGAATATATACCGTCAAAAAGTTACAGACTCATTTATTGTTGACGGAACTAGCATAGCAGGATGCTAACGTCCCACTGTTGCGTTACCGTTACTCACCCAGTGGTGTTACTTTTATTTCAGGCATGTTTTCTCAGCTTGATGTTGAAGATAGAAAAATGACACCCAGTTAGCCGAGGAGGCCGGTCTGCTTCCGATGTACAACTCCTTGTTCACAAAGATATGCTTATTGTCCACCTTGTATACATGTGGGTCATTTCTAGTACCGACTACCAGAGTCTAGCTTGCACACTTCCGGGAAGCGCTTTCACAATAAAACACCTTTCTGCAAACCATGTCACAAGACTTGACTACAAAAAGCTGATGTGCTTTGTTTTGAGTTTATATTTACATTCATTCACACAACGCATGTATTTTAAAAGGTTGATTCCAGTATTGTCAGAAACAATATTAAATAAAGATTTGACATGCTCAGGGCACAACCATTCCACATTTCACAGTTAGTTTTTCTCTTCTTCCCTGTTTTTTCTGCCAATGTCACGGCAGGCCACAGAGTGTGTGGTTCCCTTGTCTTTAATTTATCTCACGGTAGAGACTATGCTCCGCCCGAAAGCGAAGCCAGCGCTTTTATTTTTAAGGCAAAGTTGTACATTTCCGGTGTTTTTCCGGCTCGAGTCTGCGTAGTAGAGGCGGAGCAGAGCAGGAATGACCTGTCGTTCCACTGACATGAAGAGTACCGCTTGAATTTCCTTTTTTTTCGAAATTTTTCTTGCAGGTAATGTCTTCGGTCTCTTAACTTACACGTCAATACTTACATTTATTACGACCTCCAGTTGGTTGGTAGCCGTTAGTCACATTTGCGCATCTATTTGTTGCCTGTTGGCTTTTGTCGGTAGCACTTCCGTATAGAAAACCATGGCTGGTACTGAAGAAGACCAGAAATTCTGCTTACAGGAGGTGCTCGATACTTTCAAGTTGTGTTTGTCGGAGAACAAAGAAGTCTATCTTGAACACTACGTCGCTGGGTGGCGTAAACTCATAAAGTAGGTGTATTGTACATACTATACTCAGCTGAAACGGTCTAGAAAGTGTCAGGTGGTAGCAAACTGTTTTGTTAATTTTGTTACTAGATTGCTGAACAGCTTGGGGAGTGTTTTTGGCTTCATCTCCAAGGATGCTGTCAACAAGATCCACATCCTGGTGGCTCACTTGAATGGTGAGAACGGGTCTCAGTATGTCACCGTCCAGTCAATGGTGAAGTACGAGCTGGAGAACGAACTAGTGGACCTGACCAAGAGAGGCGGCCACCCAGAGTCCGGCTGCCGCACCTTACTGAGGCTCCACCGTGCACTGAGGTGGCTGGATATCTTCCTGGACCGCCTCCGCACCAGCAGCGAGGACAGCAAGACTTCCGTCATGTGTTCAGAGTCTTACAACGAGTCTCTCTCCCAGCACCACCCGTGGGTGGTCCGCAAAGCTGCAGGCATGGCGTTCTGCATGCTCCCGGGGCGCCCTGCTTTCTTTGAAGTGATGAACGTAGGCCCCCCGGAGCAGGTCGTGGCCAAGCTGGGGGAAGCTCTGCCTCTTATCTCTGAGGTGTACCAGATCACAGAGCAAATTTACACTCAACACAACTTAATGGACTTACCATAGAGAGCAAACAATTTATATTATTTGACACTTCATACATTACATGGGCTGTCAATATAGCTGCTGTTTGTTTTTAGCAACTTAAGGGTTGTTCCTCATCTGCAGTGTTATTAACTAAGCATACGTTCACTGATGCTAATCTGTATATTCTACATTTTTTAAATAATATGTAAAACTACTGCCAATTTAAATGTTGCATGTTTATCTGCAATTTTTTATAATGGGCCTCTTTTAAACTCAACTTTTGCTTGTAGATGTATTCTATTTAAAGTTAAGTAGATGAAGGGAACAGTGGGGCCCAAGTCTTAGCTCACTGCTAAGAGCTGTTTGTTTTAATTATTTATTCCAAAAATTGCTAAAAAAAAAAAAAAAAAGCATTTGCAACTATTTTGACAATCAGTTAATCACTGAAGTAAAAAAAACACCAAATATTGTATGTTTTCATGTTCTGAAATAATATAAAAATGTGCTGCCCTTCTTGCTATTTTCTGTTTTTTGACAGATTCCATTAATAGCAAATTGATAATGATAGTTGATAATCAAAATAATTGTTATTTGCTGCTTTATTTAGAACCGATACCAATCATGATTTTATGCATTAGAGAAATGCATGTTTGACATAATGTAATAATAGGGCCATTAGGTCTCATACCAAATTCCATTGAAATACTGACAGATATATTCAATAGATCATGAATATGATATTGTATGATACCAGATATTGCATTCATTTCTGTTGTCTTTCATTTAATAGACCAATGGCAAACTGCAGCCTTAACGGGAGAGAAGCAGTTTCTAAATCACTTCTTCGGTGACAGGAAAGTCTAAACGTGTCAACGAATTTAACTGAGACATTAAAAAGCAAAACATACCCAAATAGTAAGAGACAGAAGTGGATACTTTATTCAAAAACACAGTTAAATGGCCAAACCAAATACTGAGACAGTTTTACTGAGAGGGAAAAATATACAATGAAACAAAGTTTTTAGCCTTGCACTCAGAGTTGCTAACCCCGCTGTGTGTGATCTAAATGCAGTTTATTAATGTATAAATCACAAAATACACTGCTGTTATTTATTTGAAGTGGTTGGTGTATTGTTTCTCAAGAATGTACTGTAATATATACATATAGTATCATTAATTCAAATATAATGTATAAACAGTGTAGCATTATGAAAACATGTTCACTTGGTTGACGATTGTGAATGTTTGATTTGATAATTATCGATTCATTTTGTTACCTGTAGTCTAAAGTAAATAAGTACATAAGTTAACTCTGATGGTGTCATGTTTTTATAATCCGGTGCGCATGGTTATCAACGTCAACTTCTGACTTTCTTTTCTCTTGTGAACCAACTGTTATAAATAACAGAAGTCCAAATAGACTTAATAGTGGGAGAAGTAGCGCTGTGTGTAGTACTTTCAACACCAACCACAGATTTAAAGCATATCAACGTGCATTGTATACAAGTACATTTACTCAAGTACTGTACTGAAGTAAATGTGTGTGGTACCAGTTTCTACTAGATTTCAGTGGAAAATATTGTTTAATACATTGTTTGATAACTTTAGTTACCTATTCCTACACAGATTTAGATTAATGACACAAAATAAAATCAATGAATACATTTTGTGTAGTATTTTTAGCTGCAGTTGCGTACTTCCACCACCAGGGGGGGGGGGGGGGGGTCTCCTCGACTAACACTGCAAGTCGTCATCAAGGCAACCAGACTGTCATAGCAACCTCGCTGACGCTTAAAGAGAGGCACTTCCGGTAGGAACTGGATGGAAAAAGCGACAAACGGCATTTTTCAGCGTTTTAACTTGTAATTTAGCTTCAACGGGAGGACGCACCCTATTCTTCCACGTAGTGAAGCGGCTTCTAAACATCAACGGGTATGGTTGTCTTCGACTCTTATTGTGAAGGACTGAAAAACAGACTATTCTGAGCTCTCCCGACGTTATCAATGCATTCAACCAGGCCAAAGTCCTCCAAAGGGCGAAGCAGACCGGCTGTTAACGACTCTTCGTGTTCCGGTGACGCTGACAGACGCACACCGGGACCACAGGTTGTGTCTCCAGATGTTCCCGTGCACAGCAGGCCGGACAGAAACCTACGCTCCCAGTCACAACCCATAATGTGGCCGGCCAGTCAGCTGAGCCAGGATGGGGTTCTGCAGATGTCGCAACACGCCCCCGCAGCTCCACCGCAGTCCTTGAACAAGTACAAGGTTCTTCCGTCTATAGGTAGAAGGCAGTCAGATGCGAGTCTGCACAAAAACATGTCCAAGCTCAGCCTGTCTGGTGATGCTGTCCTGCAGCAGAGGCCCAGACACGAGGAGCCAGATCTCCCCAAAGTGAAGGATGTGACCCCCCAGACCAGCAGCTCCGAGGTGGACAAGAGGGCTGGGCCAAAGCCCCCTGATCCAGGACCTATAAGGGCCAAAGAAGCTGGCAGTTTGCTCCTGGCTATCCGAGCACCATGTGGTAGGAGGTTTCAGCAGCACTTTGAACCCACAGACACTCTGCTGACGGTGAGAGCCAGTGCAGAGCTCAGGTATGAAGCAGAGTACGGAGGGGCTTCCATCGAGACCATGGATGTGCCACGCAGGACCTTCACAGACATGGACATGAGCTTGGCCCAGTGTGGCATCTTGAACAGATCGCTGTTGTGCATCTCACATAATGAAGGGTTCGGGGAGTACCAGTGAGCTTAAATGTTTTTTTTTTTTAAAGTTTTGCAGCTCGGGCTTTGTAGTGGTATTTAAAATCCCCCTCCGTGTGTTGCAGAGTTTGATGAAGTAGACGCAACTTTGTGTCCAGCAGTTCAACGTTTAAGATATAAACAAAAAAATTAAATGAGGGAGAAGCAGCAGAGCCCATTTGTTTTTTTATTGATTTTATATGCAAAAGATAAATATATCTTTCAGGACGTTTGGGGCTTCATAAGTAGTAGATATGCTGTAAATGTGAATTTTTTAAAACTAATTTAGGTAATTTAACTTCTTTTGTTCCATATTGGACTAAAATTATTATTCTTAGACTCACTATTTGTAGACTATTAATAATTTTGTCTTAAAACATGTCTGGAGAGAATATTTAAGTATTTTTTGGAGCTTTTGATGACAGAAAATTCAGAACAATTCGATTCACTAATGCATCTTTACTGGAAACTTGTTTTACTGCACGATTTCTCAGAATACTCACTAAAACGTATATATAACCAGTTGACCTATGAGGACGTTTAAAATGACAAGTATGTTCTATTCCAGTCAAGACAGTAGGTGATTAGTAAATTAACGAATGATCTGTCAGTTATTGATTTAAAGAAAATTGGATTCATTTGTTTATCTGGTATTTAACATCAAAGCATACGCGATACGAAATGCTGACAAATACAGCAACAAAATGGGTTGTTGCATTTATTCACATCTTTTCTTTTCTGATTGTTCTCATTTGCCAAATATGCTTTAATTCGGATGCAGAGGCACAGTACAGCCAATATATTTACTTTCAGAGTACAACTACTGCCCTGCTGTATAAACACAAAACATAAATACTTAATCCTGTGACTGGTTGTTGATTTTACAGACTTGTATGTGTTGAGTCACAAGTTGAGATAAACCAACAGAAGATATTTTGACATGCCGCAGAAGGAAAAGCACAGGTGTAATTATTCAAATTAAGAACGAACAATGCCGTCCTTGTTATTAGCAACACCTGTTGCTTTTCTGAGTGAAAATGATCATCAGCAACCAACCCTCAATGTGTTCTGAGAAAGAACTCCTTTTACATGTTTTCATACTGAATGGAGCCACAAAATAATTTCTGGATGGATGAAAGCTGTGTTCTTAATGAAGCGTAAAAGTACCACGACATGACGCCTCAATCACCTGAATATATTGTATACTACCTGAAGAAAAATGTTTTCATTATATGTTTAATAAAAGATTCTGAGCAACATTCATTCTTTTCACCAATATAATGGTCTTGCTTGATACAATGTCTTTTCTCTGTATTGCTAAAGCTGTCGTGCAAAGAAAGCATTTCAACTGCAAGAAACGGAACAAGTTTAATATGCAACAGTAGTTATTTATTCTTTGTCCACACAAAAAGAGCAACAGCTCTGGCTTCACAGTTCAACATCAAACTAAGGAAACTAAGCTACCGCTACGAAAATGCGTCATGTCACTCAAGGATATATATATATATATATATATATATATAGATATAGATATATATATATATAGATATATATATATATATATAGATATATATAGATATATATATATATATATTTTTTTTTAGATCAGTCACATTCTTATATCTCTCTAATCCTACATGAATAATTAACTTTAGATGATCGAACGCAACACTGCAAACCGTGGACTGTAGTGTCGTCACCACCCTTCTTAAATGCTGTTTTAACAGCCAGTGGTTGGTTTATAGTCTCTGGTAGACCGCTTAAAGGCTTAAAGGTGACTTCAGTGATCAATCAAAGTCGGACACATCAAATGAAAAAAAAAAACGTCGGCACAACTTACCGCCGTGAAATAAGTTTGCATAGTGAACATTAGCATGCATCTCTCTTCTGTAAACAATAGAATGTAAACAATAAACCCTGGAAAGAACTCAACAGTTGAGGTAACTGGTCCAACTGTTCCGGTGTTACGTCATGCTCGTAGCACTTCAGCTCATCAGCTTCTCCATTTCTTCCAGATTGCTGGTGTCGAGCTTCGTGATGCTCCTGTCTGTGGGAGAAAGATAAGAGATAAAAGTCATGTTAGGATCCTTATATTTGCTGTTCTACGTGATTAAACTGGAAAGAAACAGGAAACGTACTGAAGTGCATCTCAATTTGGTTGATGATATCCATGCTGCGTTTGCTGTCGACCATATTAACCGCAAATCCTCTTCTGCCGAAGCGTCCCGTGCGGCCGATCCGGTGGAGGTACGTCTCGTTGTCGGCATTCCCAGCCATGTCCACGGGGAGGTCAAAGTTCACCACAAGAGACACTTGTTCCACATCGATACCTGTGATCAACATAAACACTAATGAGCTGGAGACCTCAGAGCATAAAGATTGATTTATTATTTTATTTTTACAAGCTCTCCCTCACCTCTGGAGCACACGTTTGTAGTCACGAGGACTTTCTCCTTGCCTTTCCGAAAGCGTTCGATGACGGCGGCTCTCTGCTCCACCGTCAGTTGCCCGCTCAGTAAGGACACCTGGTGCCCCTCTGCGATCAGGTTTGAAGCCAGCCAAGCAGCCATCTTCCGAGTCTAAAGAAAAAGCTAATCAGCTAAACATACTACGTCCTGTCAGGGGACATTTTTCCTGGAATTGGAAATATTAATTTGTGATAAATACACATGTTATCTGTCAAGTTTATCAAAATTCTAGACCCAATTAACAAATGGCATTTTATCTTAGGAGAGGAAGTAAGACTGTGATGTGCATACACTTTGGACCCGTTATGCGTGTATAAACGTTTAAACGTCATTAAATTTAAAAAAGGCTCCAATCCTCCAACATTTGGAGCAAGCTCAGTTTGCCAGATCTATTTAAGAATAAAGAGCTAAAACCAAAGCAAAGATCCTTTTGTAAATTGCCTACATGATCACTGTATATCCGACTCTCTCTAGTGCGCTAGAGTTGGGTTGTAATCCAGATCTTTACGTTCATCATAATTAAGTGCGTACTAAGCAGGGTTAAAACAGCTGACTCACATGGCAGAAGATCATGGCCTGTGCGACGGTGAGGCTCCCGTACAGGTTACAGAGCGACGTGAACTTGTCCTCCTTCTCCCGACAGATCACATAGAACTGCTTGATGGTGTCCAGGGTCTCCTCTTCGCGTTTCAGCCGGATGATGTTGGGATCGGGAACCACCTGCTCTGCAAACCTCCACACAGAGTCCTCAAAGGTGGCAGAGAAGAGGAGCATCTGGCAGTCCTTCGTCAGCTGTCTGTGTTGACACAAAGACAAGCAGGAAAAACATTGTGTCAAGAGGATTCGCGTTGACTTGACAAAGCTCTTTTATTCTCATCGTTGGTACGTTTCTCTGAGAGGAACCCACCTGTGGATCCGTATGCTCTGGTCCCGATGACCCTGCGTGGCGATCATCACGTCAGCCTCGTCGAGCACAAACATAGTGATCTTCTTGGAGTCGATAAGCTTGTACTTGGTGCACCAGTCGAGGACCGTGCCCGGTGTTCCAATGACAATCTGTTCCTGCAACTTGACGCCTCGCTCCACTGAACAGAAAGCAGAAATCTATGTGGTGACATAACCGACTCTGGCTCTCTACGAAACATGAGAAACATGTCGGCTCTCTATGAGAGCCGACATGAAATACCATTTTTGCCGCCATTTTGACCAGACGTAATTATAAATATGGTCAAAGTCTTACGTCTGTTTCCCCGGATACCGTAGGCCAGTTTCACATCGGGGCAGAATTCCCCCATCTGCTCGATTACGTGACCGATTTGCAGAGCGAGCTCGTATGTTGGCGAGATGCAAAGGCACTGAAAGAACCAAACAGAATTTTAAATGTAGAGAGAATTTCAAAGTCTACAACTGAACGTCGACACCGGCTGTGCTCTGCAGATGTCATGTTGTGCTCACCAGATGTCATGTTGTGCTCACCTGAGTCCACTTATTCTCTGGGTTTACGTGGCTGAGCATGGCCAGAGAAAAAGCAGCAGTTTTACCCGTGCCAGACTGTGCCTGGGCGATCAGATTCTGAGTTCTGGAAGAGAGATACACACATATTATTATTATAATAAAGAAGGGTGTAACTGTTAAAGAGACATGTGAATCTATTGAGTTTATATGGTACCGTATGTGGTGCCTCAAGGTATTGTATTTCGTCATGTAATGTCGTAAAGTAACGGGCCACACCCAGAGTTGGCGTGGGCATATGACTGTGGCATTGTGGGTCGTTTGCGAGCACAGATGCAGAGAGGAGTGAACGACCCCAGATTAAATTGATTCTGCACGTGGTCCAAGAGGTGCACACGGTGTACAAAGTGTTCATTTGTACATACATTTGTGTGTATTGTTGTTGACCTGCATTTACATGTGTTGCATTTTTTGAGATTGTAGTTTATGTCATTATTAATGTGCTAATATGTGCTAGCCTGTTTGGCAACGGACATTTGCCTGAGAGACTCCAAGGAGAGCTCGCAATTTATGTTAAAATGTTTGTTTATAGTTGTCACGGTGTGTGAGGTGCAGAGAGAGAGAGAGAGAGAGAGAGAGAGAGAGAGAGAGAGAGAGAGAAAACGCGGCAAATAAAGTTCATCAAAGACATCAGTACGAAGCATCGCCATTTTTGCTGGACCAGTGTAGCTACAAAGGGGATTAACCAGACAAACCTGATGTAATAGAAATGATAATATATTTGTATAACTAATGCAAGGACAATAGTTACAGTCCATTTTAGAGCTTGCAACATCGGCAGAAAATGATTTAAACTATTTTGATAATTGCTTGTTTTCTAAGTAATTTTTCATCATCCCGAAAACTGGTCACCTCGAGCACTAGGTCTTTTTTTTAACAAGTTTCTTTTCAGTTCTGTAATATTTTACAGCCCAACAACTAAACAAGGAAATAATTAGTATTAATTGACAACAAAAAGAATCAGTTACAGCCCTACTCCATTAACTTCATGCTAAATTAGCTTTTATGTGTTCTTATTATTGTTATAGTACAAGGATATGATAACTATATATACAGTACTTTGAATTTACACTTTAGTCATTTGAATGTGCTAGAAATGGCACTAAAAAGGGAATTGTTGCTTCTTTTTTAAATTATGTTCTGACTTTTAATAGAGTTCAACGAGTTTTGTTTTTAGAGAGACTTATTAATAATGTTCTGCCCCTTTACTTCTGGATGAAAGCTGGTTTCAGCACTAAGAATGAACTCACGGCTGTGCCAGCATCATGGGCAGAGCGCTCTCCTGGATCCTCGATGGTCTGTTGAACCCCATGTTGTACACGCCCTTCAGCAGTTCAGGTTTTCTATTGTCCCAAGTCAAAGGTAAGTGTTAGAGGGAGGGAAAACATACACAGGTATATCTGCTTTAAAGTCAAATTAACTGCCACGCTTACAGCCTCAACTCCTCAAAGGTCTTCACGGAGTACAGAGGAGACGTGGGGTCCTGCTGCAGGACCTCCACCTGGTTTCTGTTCCGCACCAGACACTTGCGGATCAGTTTGTTCAACAGGGACTGTTCAGCCATGTCCACGATTCTACTCAAACCTCCATCTTCAGTCTTCTCCGGCTCAATGTTGCCTGCACAGGTGGAAACACCCCCCCCCCCCACCCCCCAAAAAAAAGTCAAGCACCACAACTAGGCGGTAAAATTAGGTCCTCGATATGTTAATAATAAAACATTTTTATTAAGTTACCATTTATGTCTCCTCTTATGTCTCGTGGGCCATGCAGTCGGTCAACTTTCTTTGAGAAGTCCACCTGGTTAGAGAAAATACATTATAAGCTGAACAAATGACGGAATGTGTGCTGCTAGGTAGCAAATTAGCTTACGTGCTAATGAACGATGCGCACGTTGGCCCGTGTTTGGTGTTACTTGTATTGAGCCGTTTGTCTCTTTTTAAACTCACCTGTATGGATGGAGCTGTAGCTTCTTGAACATCGACAGAAACTGCCCACGACTCTTCAGACATGTTTAAATGTTAACTGTGTGTTTCTTTCGAAACAGAACAACACTTCAATCAACAATCAAAAGTTTGATGTCAGCGTGAATGATGTGCGTCAAAAGTGAAGTGACGCCGTGCCAACGTGCCGTTGCTCCTGACCTGGACCAACCGCAACCCGCTGGACCACACCACGGATGCTGCCTTCAAACACATCGGAAATATCGAACTTTTCGAAAAAGATAGTCCGCCAGAACCAGCTAATCAAAGTGATAAATAGCCGGGTAATAGGACAGTACTGTTATTTTTAACGTCAGTTAATGTCAACCATAATTCCGTGGCATATCTTGTGTGGAAATAAAACGTTTTAAGAATGATTTCATCCTTTATTGACGATTTAAGAATTACAGTTAAGTTTATAATTCCCTATTTTTTGTATGTTAGCTATAAAATATGTCTAATTATTTTATGTTTTTATTTATGCAACTTTGAAACCAAAATGGCTCTGTTCACTCGTCTAAACAACGTAAAAGAAACACTTGAATCCATGTGATGTTCTATTTACGAAGTTTATAAATACTACTTGAAGGCACCGTAGTATGCCCCTCTGTTTATAATGAACCTGCTGACACATCAGATTATAGACAAAGAACTGCTACGTAATAAGTAAATGTACCAATTAAATGAAATATACATAACGTAGCTCAATGGTCAATAATCAACTAAAAAAACTAATAGCAATTCATTTTTCCCATTTAAAATTTCCTTTGTATATATGTCGTAAATATTACTCTATTAATGTAAATTGAAGTGTAGGGTGATTTAGTTTCTTCATAAAAGTCATTGTTGTAATCTTGATGTGTATCAATATGTATGAGTTTAAGTGTATTTTTAGGCCTAGTGTCATGTAAAGTATATTTAGAAAAGTAAGTAGGGTAATGACATTTCCATTTTTGATTACTCTGCATATTGTTTTTTAACTAATTTAATATAATTTTTTCTATAGTAACTTGAATTTAGATGTTTTTGAACTTTTTTTTTAATTAATCGATTAATCGTTTTGTCTATAAAATGTCAAAAGGTAATAAAAAATATCCATCACAATTTGTCATCAAATAGCTTGTTTTGTTGGCCAACAGTCGAAAACCTAAAAATATTCAATTTACTGTCACACAAGATGCAGCAGCAAGTTTTTCTGGACCTGGGGAATGTTTGGCATTTTTGCTTGAAAAATGTAACCGATTAATCAATTCAGAAAAATAGTATATAAAACATAAATCATAACTTCCTTTTCACGACATTAATTACCAACATGCTTGATTAGCTTGTGTTTGAAGAGGACACCGTCTCTCTGTTCAATGTAGAGCTGAGACAATTAGTAGACTAATTGTTGAGTCAATCTTCCAAGTAATGGTCTCTGGTTCCAGCTTATCTAATAGGATGATTTGCTTGTTTTCTTTGTCTTATGTGATCGCAAACTGAATTTATTTGAACAAGTTTATTACATCGCCTTGAGCTTTGACAATGCTCTACGTCAATTTTTAACTATTTCCAACAATTTACAGACCTAATAATAAATCAAGAAAATAATCTTTAGCTGCAGCCCCATTATGTTACTATTTGTTGCATAAAAATATACTTTTAATATTGAATTTGCCTTGAACCATTCTACCATTTGGTTGTCATGAGACAAAGAGAAAGTGAAACATTTCAGATGGTGTGTGTGTGTGTGTTTGTGTTTGTGTGTGTGTGTGTGTGTGTGTGTATGTGTCTGTGTGTGTGTGTGTGTGTGTGTGTGTGACCGCATTGGAGAGGTTGAGAAACAGATAGACAATGAGGGAAGCAGAGAGGGGGGGAACCTGGTTTTATTGGCTGCAAGTTAATTCAATTTGGAGGCGGATGCTGAGTTTCACCCACACCCACACACACACACTCACAAACACACAGACACACCATCTACATTTTCACGACTCCGAAAATGACTCGATACAGACAACATATTAATTGTCATGGTAACCTCTCAAGAAAAACAGATGGATATAACTAAGTGATCACAAAACATATAGAGGCAGCCAAGCACCCATGCTGGATTTGAAACATTCAGGGCTTTTCCAATCACACGCGAGAGAGGAAGAGAGAGAGATTATAGGGGATATAGGGAGACATGTATTGCCCCACCCCACCCACCTATCGGTCCCTCCGAGCCTTTCTTTTCACTCTCCTGGTGTTACGGTATACCACACAAATACTCAGATCCTCGGATATTATAAAGGATACCTGAATGTTTCCGGTTGTTATCGATGTCAGGGAGGGCTGCTCGAGTGAGTGGGTGGTGCTGATGCTTTGAATGGGAAGGGGGATGTTTATTGGAATAACTGGACCCTCTGTCTCAGCCCTTCTCTCTCTCTGTCTCTCTCTGTCTGTCTCTCTCTGTCTTTCTCTCTCTCTCTCTTTCTCTCTCTCTCTCTCTCAAAGCCCTCCAAATCCAGCATCCACGGGGAGGAGGAGGATGAAGAGGAGGAGGCGGAGAATAAATGAAACTGTTTTTGCAACCACATGTTGCTGTGCTTGATTGAACTGCTGCAAACAGCCTCTGGGCTCCCTACCTTTCCTTTCTTTGCAGTGTACATCCAACTAACGATGTGGCCGCTGTATCTGTAGTTTCTACCACCTGTGGCAGCACTCCTATTCCCTCTTCGCCACAGAGCGAGAACAAAAAAGGGGAGCTGAGAGAGGTCGGAGAGGAGGGGGATATCTTTCACGATAAGTGGACTTCTGACAGAGAGAGATCCTTGCTGCATACCCAGTTCACACAAATGAAAGGTAAGATAATGAGTCTGATGCTGTGATCATACCAGATGCATTTTAATGTCGCAGTGTGTCTCTCTGATGATGCATATATTAAACATCCCTGTCATTTGTTTGAAAGGAAGAAAAGGTTGGCCAGTCAGATGATTAAAACTAACAGATGCATCTTGATTTACAGTGTAAACAGATATACCAGACACTGTGTTTCAACAGGTGGTTACCACAGCATCTGCTCTCTGTTTTGGCACTAATGAGTGCGGAGAAGTGTGGCAACGCTGACAGGAAATGTTGAGAGTTGACGGTTTGGTGGTCTTTTAGCAAACCCCAGGAGGGTGGCAGGGTGATTCATGCGATGGAGCCAACCAGGAGGGAAGCATCCTGGGACTGCCACAAATTATTATAGAGCTGAAAGAGCGTAAACAAAGGGACACCTTGGAAAAACACCTGTCATGCAGCTCATGGAAATGTGTTTTTTTGTTAAAGCTTAATATTAACTTATTCAGAATTTTAATTCACATCACCTTTTGTATGAGCTAGATCTTTAATTTCACATTTATTATTGTTCAGTGTCTGTATCTCATCACTTATGTTGTCATATTTTTAGCATTGGGATAGTTTGCAGTGCAGCAGCCTGTATGAAGGGACAAAGGGATGTGTACCTGTTTGCTTCTCAATCTGGGGTTGACTGGACACATGATGGCACTGTCGAGACAGACAACTAAATAGACTGTAATTACATCAGCAGGACCTTTTCCTCACCATGAATAACCATGTCGTGTCTAAATGTTGGTTTGACTAAGATCGTTTGGTTTGAGAAAGGCTGATTGAAGTTTTATTGATTCTAAAGGATCGCCTGTGTGGCGAGGGAGTGTGAAAGTTGTGTCTTTGGAGATTAGTTGAACCTGTTTAAATTTCCCAAGTGAATGTGATTGTGTGTGAAGGAAAGAGATGGATTAGTGTTTTAATTGCAATCAGTCTCAGCATCATAAATAAAGACATTAAAACTGGTCAGTCTGCAGCCTTAGCAAGCAAGCAGAGCTGTCTCTATGGAAATTGCTTTCGTCATAACACTTCCTATCAAGCCCGTGTGTTGGGGCTTTGGTCGTGCAGCAGACACAGACCCTTGACAGCACATTACCAAGATTGCTGGGTGGAGGAGACGACATTAACAATGAAGCACGGCCCAGAAGCAACAGATTATTTTATTGTATAACTTACTTGCTTCATTCCTCCTCAATGATATCTGAAGATTCCTTTTTTCTTCACCTCACATGACACTGAATATAGCTTTTGTTTCTCTCTCCTGTTACATTGTTGGTGCGATGTAATGATGATATGACCCTAAATTAGTTTTATTGATGTGACCTTTATCTCAAATGCTCACTCCTTCTAAAGGCTCTTTGGTTTTATATCACACCCTTGAAGATTAATGAGCTTGTAATATCTATAGAACCCGCTGCTCTGAATTGTATATATATATATATATATCTATATATCTATGTACATACTGTCCATAACCCTCCACCCCTCTTGTTTGTTCAGCTTTGTTGTCCTTGTTCCTGGCTGTATATTTCTGTGTAGGTAAATTGAGAGCAATGTAATGCAAAAACATTAAGAGTCAAATTCCTTGTATGGGTACGTAGCGGTTACTTGGCCAATAAAGGTGATTCTGATTCTAAACAGTTTTTAATTCATAATGATATTTTTCCAACGTTTTATTAAAATCTTGGATGCATAACTTTTATTTGTAACACTGTGGTATTGCTACTCTTCCACCCAAGCTATCAGGAGATAACTGGCTACTTTTGGAAGCAGTTTGTTGCGCTTGCTTGAGAGGCAGGGGGCATGTGATTGGCTGGAGAAATGATTTGATAATGAATATCCAATAAAACTATTACAATAGGAATAATGATATAACATTTTACACTAATGAGTTACATTTTAATAATTGCTTCAATTGTTGTTTTAACTATAAAGTATATTTTACACAATTCATTCGTTTATTTTTTTCATTATGACAGCTTTTGTGTCATATAATTATCTGATGATTCTTTTGGCCTTTGTTTGACATGTGACAACAAACCAGAATCCTAAAAGCAACACCATGCCTGGACTCATTAACAAGGAGAACCGGAGCGCTCTGCCCCTCAGTGTCTCTGATATCACTTCCTGTGTCAGGGGTTATACTCTGGCCATGACAGCCTCTATGACCTATGAAAACATTGAGGATCATGCAATTGAAGGTGAGTGTGTACATCACTGGAGAGTTGTTCACTTGAGCAATGTGAACGCAAGCTACTTTCAACCAACCTTTTGCTCTGAAACACACTGCTGATCATTGACTGGATGTATTTAATGGTTCATCTTCTGGGTTTATGCCCTTATTTCTATTTTTTCCTCTCCAACTGCCTTTTTAGGGATCTTCATTTATCCACTGGAGGAAAATTCTATTGTGGTGGGGTTTGAGTCCATGATATCGAGTCAGATTATAACACTGCAAATTAAAGACAAGGCAAAAATTGACGACTGTTATGTGGATTGCTGCAACACATCTAATGGAGCCCTCCATAGTGGCAGCGGTAAGATTGAAGCTTTTCTAATCAATATTGTTATGCAAGTAATAGATCAAATTACTACGTGTGAAACCTTGTTTCTAGCAGCAGCAGGCAGCTGTGAAATCTCAGATAACCCCACTGTACACTACCTGCTCAGCAACAAGACAGACAGACACATTTATTGACGAGTTGGTGAACATAGTGGATCATTTAGCAGCTAAAGAGATGGATATTTCCCCAGGGAGGCTGTGGAGCCCAAAACAAAACAGAGCTAAAAGCAAGTGACCTTTGAACTTACAATTGCCATGTCGTACAAAACAAGACTTCCATGTTCATGTTATGTTGCTCTGTGTCTGCTGGATGTGTAAATAGGCGACCATATCGCCTTAAAAGGTGTTCATAACTCAATGTGTTGTTTACAGCTTGTTGTGCTGCACCCAAGGGACCAAAAATAATAATAATTTGATGTAAGTTTAAAGGGGCACTGCTGTACTTTAATGTTATGACTTCAGGGTTATCTATGGGAAATGTAGCCTGTGCTGTTTCCATTTTTATCATTCTTTTTTAGTTAGTCTCTAAACGTACCAAAACTTTATGGAAATGCATAATTATGTTTTTTGGTACAAGTGAAGTAATACAGTACAATGGTTTCCTTGAAGTGTAATATTATTATAACAATAATATCGATACTTCACCTAAACTAAGAAGCTCATTGTCACCCCCTTTATCTGAAAACTAAGTTGTATTTCAGGCATCAAAGATAGCACCTTTGCATTAGCTTGGGCGCCTATATAAATTGTGGTAAATTAAAAGATTTGGTTGTTTGCTAATCCTTTCTGGTTTTACAGGACATATAGTGATTGATGAGGATTTGGAGAGGACAGTGTTAGTAGTTAACCTCGGGATCATTCCTCCTATGGAGACGGTCCATATTCTGGTGAGCACCTCCTCTGAGCTATCCACCCTGCCCAACGGAGGCATCAGGGTCTCGTCCCCACCGGTGTGTACACCTCGGGTACAGAGGACCATCAACGAGGAGCAGGGACTATCCCCAAACTTCTCCAGAACGTAAGAAAACAAATACATTAATACAATACAAAAATCGCTTTCTTGTTAATATTACACCATGTTCAAATTTGGTATATTTTGAAGTTGGATTTGGCACTGTTAACTGGATTTTTAGGTCCCAAATGTTGTTTTGTATGGATAGAAACTGACTATACTAACACTGTATGTGTTCATTCAGGATGGCTCCATTTTAATGTAGTTATGCTTTGCTAATTTTAGGCGGGACATTCCTCACGATCAAACTCCCAACTCCCCTCAGCTGTGGTTGGCTTCACTGCTGGAGGAGGAGGCCATCAACTCCATGGACTACGAGTTTAACTTCCAGCTGGAGATACGGGCTCCCTATCTCCTCGCAGGTCAGAGAAATCAGCAAGAAAGCATTTTTGAGAAAGCAAATTACCCAAAATGAGGGATTGCTTTACATTTGGTGATTTTAGCATCATGTAAATTCTCACATTAAAACTTATAATTGCTGGTTGTTTGCTCAAACTGCACTTGAAGGCATTAGCGCATAGGTTGCTTTTACATCTTATGGAAGTTTTTTTATTCTCATAATATGAGTGTTATGTATCAGTGGGGCCAACTGGTTTGTCATTTCTTTTATTACTGGAGGTGAAGCCACTGGTTATTTGATCTGCTGTGTCTGTTGCTCTGTGTAGGTGTAGAAAGCCCGTCTCACGCCATCCGAGCTGATGCAGACCCTCTGGCTCGCTCTGCCACAAGCATCGTTATCACGCTGGCTGACAAGTACACTTATGACTGTCCTGTTAAAATCCTCATCTACCCCAGCGGTAGGTCCACAGCTTCAAAACTCACTAACAGCACCACCCTGCAATGAATTAACCTAACCTCTCCTCTCAAGTACAATAGCTCTGTCAGGCTTATTAAATAGCATTTTTTGGTGTGAAGGTCAGTATCATGTGATTCACCGCCTCACTTTGTGTTTCTCCTGTTGTATGACATGCCAGTCAGACTGTATTGTGTGGGTGTGCGATGTCAGGTCTGTTTTTTTTCTTCCCTTGTGCTTTCATTTCTCTCTGCAGTCTTGACCTACACTATGTGTGGGCCACTTGTCTTCCAGAGGCAGGAATGAGCAACGGCCTCACAGATCCAATAGCCCTTTTATGAAGGTTTTGTTCACAAACAGACCTGCTGCCACTGCTGGGCAAATTAATTCAGCTCAGACCGGTGCTGCAGTTTCAATCACAACATGGACGCTCAGCTGGAGCAGAGATGGACAAAACTGAGCGGCATTGCAGGCATGCGTGTGTGTTATAATAAACAAAACAGAAAGGAGCGGTGTATTTTCATCACCAGCTTGGTTGATTAATGGACAGACACGCATGCTTTGTCATATAAATTACCACAAGGATTCTGCTGGGTTCACCAAGTTAAATTTGAGATTTTGAAAGACATTTTTAATACCACATCAACAATCTAATACCTGTTTCATTGGCAAAGTAAGACCAATACTTATTAAACCAGGATGATAATGCCTATAGAGTTATTCACTAAATACATTCATTTATTGACATTTATATCACATTGTGTCAGTATTTCCCTGCAGTATATATATATATACATCAATAATTAACAATAATATAATTCAATTGACCAATTAACATAAACCTGGAACTGGATAAGCTCAAGGTAACTAATTAAGGGTGCACCTATGCATTTTACATATGTTCTTTTTATAACTAATGGTCCTGCCTGCAGCAAGTTAGAAAGAATATTTAGGATATTTGTAAATAAAATGCAAACCTTTTAATTTAAGGCAATTTTAGTAGAAAACTGAAATCAATGCCTTCAAAGACTTTTTAAGATTTGCAGATACCCTGCACTGAAGAGAAATAAATCCCCAACATTCCCTCAACCCTCTGAGCTAATTGTGTTATCTTGAGACCCAGCTGTGATACAGCATCTTTATACACAACCACCTCCTCATTCTCACATCAATGTGTGGATACGTCTGCACCACAGATAGATATAATCTCTCTGTAATATTTATCTATATTTTGACCAAATGTGTCACTTTAGAGCCTCATCTGCCAAATGTGCTCATTGAGAATGGAGACATGACGCAGGAGGAGTACGATGAATACATTCACGGCCGGAGCGATTTCATCAAGGCTGCCAAGAAGGACTCCAGCAATAAGAGTAAAGTGAGTCATCGACATCCACACCATGTACCTGAACTGATGGCAACATTATCACACCACCAGGAGAGTGGTAAAGACTAGACAGTAGCACAATATCCTGAACAATGCCCTGCAACAAATACTATATTTGTGAAGCTGCAACGATTACATCGTATTGTTTTGTTGTGTCATGCGATCCAATACGAGTGGTGGAGGAAATATATTCAGATCCATAATACCCCACTGTGAAAACACTCCTCTACAAGTAAATGTATTCAAAGTAAAATATACTGAAAGTATCAAAAGTACTCATTCTGCATTAAGCTGTTGACTTTCAGTGTTTTTCTATTATATGTGATGTTTTTGGATTAATATTATTGGTGCATTACTGTGTATACTGTAGATGTTTGAGGTTAATGATAAATCCTCCAGTTTTTGGAAAACATTTAAGTTTAAAGATCACCAACTTTGGAGATACAAGGTTTTCACTGGACAGGAAGGGTGTGAAAAATTGTAATTTGAGAAGTAATTAAATATGTCAGACAAATGGAGTAAAAAGAACAATATTTGCCTCGGAAATGTTTTGGAGTAGAAGTATTAAGTAGCATCATGAACAAGTAAAGTACAAGAAGCTTAAAATTGTACTTTAGTAAACTTAGTTACATTACTTTTCTTGCGTTCATTCACATTTGTGCTGTGAGCAGTTAAGTGACCAGTGGAGGTAAACAGAAGAAGAAAGAGGACTTAGCCATAAAATGGGTTTCTATGGAAACACTGCAAGGAAGCTTCACATTCGGATTGGAATTTCCTGCACGTCTACAATAATTGATGTGCTCTGCCTATCAGCCCGATCAAGTCCCTTTTATTGCCCTCTTTAACTGTTAAAATAAAGCCTGTCAATTCAGAAAAAAGTCCAGTTAACTCACGGTGCCAAATCCCCACTATTCATTTTTATGTTCCTCTGTCTTTACAGATCGATATCATTCACAGGCGACTCCACAAGGACATCCTCCACAACCCTGTGGTCATGTTGAACTTTTGCCCTGACCTCAAGTCCATCAGTTCAGACCTGAGGAAGGTTCACGGCGAGTTTATCTTCCTCATCGACCGCAGCGGCAGCATGAGCGGTGTTAACATAAACTGCGTGAAGGTATTTTTAATCTCAGTGTGCTCAGTGTTTTGTATTTCTTGCACAGGTGGACACGCAAACACACAGGCATACGCTGATTTACATATAAATTGTAATTTTTTTTTACATTTGTGAACGCTGAATTTGTTTTAGTGCGTTACAGTCGACACACAACACATCAAAATAAAGATATTAAATGGAAAGCTAATGCCTCAAAACAACATAGGAATATTATCATTATATATTATATTATTTGTATAACTGATTTCTAAACTCACCGCCAAACTGATTCTGCAATCTTTGGAGATTATGGATGTGGTTAGCCAGCTGTGGGAAGGGCATGCACACAAGGTTATATCGATCATACAAGTCATTCATTATCCCCCAAATGTCTCCCGGTTGCTAGGTTTTAGACAGAAAGACTTTGAGGTCTCGCAGACTTCATGTGACTTTTATTCAATATCTACAGAGCCGACTCATTCATGGTTAATACCTTTTTCAATATATTGGTAGATTTTTTGGCTGCTTGTGCACTGACCCTGCCCTTTGATGTGATGCTGACCGGCAGTGTTGATTTGTGACTCAAGACTCTTTTTTTTATTGGATGTGTCTGAGAGTCTGGGTTTAAGGCCCCGGTGAAGGCCAGTGATGTCATGACTATTTACCACTGACCTTCAAGAAATACTGCCGAATGGCTTTAGTATGTCTCAAAACATTAAATATTATCTTTTTTCTTTGCTAATGCACCTGAAGAGGTATTTGATTATAGATTGTACGGTGTGGTCTTTGTGCTCTTCACCTGAATGAAGGTTGAGATAAGTGCTATTCCTCTAGAGACACTGCCCTAGAAGAAGCAGTGATGGATGAAAAGAAACTGCGTGAGGCCACTCTCCTCTTTTCTCCTTTCCTTGAGAAAATCTGCTGTGCAGCGATGACAGCTGTGTAGAGTACCGTGCTTTCATTCAACCAGACATCAGCGGACGTAGTTGTAATGCAGTGGAAATGTTCAACAGGACATTAAGCACCTAATGAACAGAAGAGCTTTGCCTTTTAAAATAATTCTTTGTTGTGTTCTACTTTCTGAACAAGAAGTGAATCTGCGCTCGGCCTCTCTCTCTCTCTCGTTCTCAGGATGCCATGGTGGTGATTCTCAAGAGCCTCGTTCCAGGCTGCCTTTTTAACATCATAGGCTTCGGCTCCACATTCAAATCACTATTCACAACCAGCCAGAACTATGAGGAGGTAAAGCAGCTCTGGAATACATTGATGCAGTTCTGTTGGGAAAATTGAGCCAAAGCAATCGTAAGATGCTGTAACTCAAGAAATAAAGTTGACTTTCTCTCCTCTTCATCTCAGGAAGCCCTGGCCCTGGCTTGTGATTATGTTCGGAGGATCAGAGCCGACATGGGGGGGACCAACGTCCTGGCGCCGCTCAATTGGATCCTGAGGCAGCCGATGTTCAGCGGACACCCCCGCCTACTCTTCTTGCTCACCGACGGAGCCGCCAGCAACACGGCCAAAGTTATCGAGCTGGTCCGCAGCCATGCACGCTACATCAGGCAAGTATTACTGTTGAGGCTCACAACTGACCTCTATTCTGAATGTTAGAATAAAGGAAAAAGATCAATAATGAGTGACATTGTTGGGAATATTGTCATATTGTCTAAAAGGATCCTTTGCTGTCAAAGCTGCCAAAGCAGTACATGACCCACACTGACATGAATATGTGTTTGTGGTAACTGCTGAGTTCAGAGTAAGTATAACAGTGGCTACTGTTGTAGTAACAGCACTGGCAGAGAGGCTACTGTATGTTAAAGCAAATGATAATAAATTCATCTTTTGTTTATGACAATTATGTAAATAGCAATGGCACAGCTGGCTGGTGAGATGAAATCTCATCCAGGGATCGTTAGGGGCTTAAATGAATAACCGGTTATGCAGCAATAATCCGCTCAAAATTAAATCCGGAAATATGTATTGAATGTCAAACATTATGTACATCATCACAAAGGATCTGTCAGAAGAGGAGAAGAAGAGGACATTGGTGCAGCTTTGATTTTAGATGAGAAAAGAAAAACATTGTTTTAATGTTGCATCTGGAGTAAGGATGCACACACTAACTGTCAACTGATAGTGAACGCCTGAGGCACAATAGATCTGCAATACACTGGGAAATCATTTCATTTTGAAGCCTGCATCGAAGTCTCACACTGTGAATCCCTCTCTTGAGTCACTCTGGAAATAATTGACTTTTGTCTACCCCCTTTTAATGGATGACCGCCCCCAGACGATTGCATTAGGTACACAGAGCCTGGCCAATTCATCGACAGTGCCTGGGTCATTATCACACTATGCTTACAAATCAACGAGCCAGTCAGAGACAAGACCAAACAACCAGGAATCTCTGTCCCGAAAATCCATGTTAGGGTCTCTTCTACCAACAGTATGTAAGAGGCGACATTTCTGTTTTAACCTAGACTCCAAGCCTAGACTCAGCCAGCTCATCCCTCGGTGAAAAATGTAATGAAAATGGTAAAACACAGCTTCAACCAACCTCCCCGGTGCACTCTGAGAGGCAGCAGGCCTGTCTCAAATTTCCACCATGAAAGATGATTTCCTGTTTGTCTCTTTTCCCAAAAAAATCTCTATTTTACAACATGTTTAGATATATACAAATTAGATATATCTCCAAAGCAGCTCTTTAGATCTCTGCGAAATGTGTGCCCTTCCTGGGAAGACACCTGTTACCATTCTCTCGATCTGTCCATGGAGCCGCAGTGTTTAATGTTTTTGTGCAGATGTTTTACTTTCGGCGTAGGACAGAAGGCTTGCAGGAGGCTGGTGCAGGGACTGGCGACAGTTTCCAAAGGAACAGCAGAGTTCCTGGCTGAAGGAGAGAGGCTGCAGCCCAAGGTACTCATTTCCAGCTTTGTGTATCACTCCTAATGACTGCCAGCTAATCTGAAGGCCACAAAAGATCCATTATACTTTAGTTACTAAGCACAGAGTGTCTTCCACTGATACCAATTGGGAAATCATATCTCAGAGACGCTTTAGCTGTAAGTACTTGTCATCGAAAAGCTGTGTTTGATGTCTGGAAGTTTATTTTAATCGTCTTACTTTTACTCCACAGATGATAAAGTCGCTGAAGAAAACCATGTCTCCAGTACTCAGTGATATTTCTATTGAATGGCTCTTTCCTGAGACGAAAGAAGTGCTGCTGACCCCTGTGGGCAACACTTTCCTGTTTCCAGGGGACAGTCTGATTGGCTACAGTGTGGTTTGCGACGCCACCCGCTACCACGCCAACCCCAAATCTGTAAGTGCAAGGCATCAGCTGAAAGAAGACAAAAGACTCCATGCAGGATAACCTTCTGTGTCGTGAATATTTCAGTAAAGGAAATTGATTGTGTTAATGTCCAGCTTGATAAATAGCTTAGTTGTTTCATTTTAACGACTTGTTACCTCTGAAAGGTGTTTTCATGGAGAGTAAAAAAGCCCGAAGGCCAACTGTGAAGGAAATTTTTTAATCAAACGTTGGATGTGTCCCCTCCTCCAAATGTCAACAGGATAAGAGGAGGAGATACAGCATGATGCGCTCCATTGAGTCTGCCAGCTCCGTGTTTTACCAATCTCAAGAGGAGGATGCGGTGAAGACAGGTAGCGACTTTCAGGGCTCCTCCAGAGAAGCACTGCTGTATGATTCCTACCAGGACTCCATGACAGACAACCCTGCCACCACAGAGCAAGACACCGTGGGTAAGAACCTACAGTACATACATCTTATCCCTATATTTCACTAGTAACACTGATGTCAGCCATGGAAATCAGCTGAAACTGTCTGTCAAGCCAGTTGGGCCAGGCAATAAAGGTTAGCACATACAATGTAGGTAAAAGGCCTGATTAAGGTGCTAAATATCTGCTCTTTTCTTGTATGAGGGGAGGATTCAAAAGCAGTTTAAAGGTACATTAGGTCAGATAATGGTGTGGAAATGTTTCTTGTAATTAGAAGCCGCTTGTAAGACCAGTAGAGTTAGATAAACATTAACGGTGGGTGGTGGTTCTAATGGCACTCAGATGAAACTGCCTATCAAGCCGAAGGGGCTAGCTAATATCACACGTACATACAATGAAGAAATCAGAGCAAGAACAATAAATTGGCCAGGCTGTTAAATCGGATGATATTAGCTTATTTCAGATATATCCGTATCTGTCTGTATGTCGGCTGATAAGTAACACAAATATTGCGTTGCAAAGAGAATAGAACGATACGGCTCTCGAAAAGGAACTGAGCCATAAGATCAGAATTCAAAGGCAGTTTAAAGGTATGTTTAGTCAGGGAAGACTCAGTACATTTATGATATCACATTCAAATTTGTAGTTTGTCCAATACTTTTGTTTATGATCAAATACCAACAAAACTATCGACATTCCTATCAGTCTCAGCCGTACCTTGTGCTTAGTGCTTATTGGACACAATCTAAGATGATGAACATAGTAAACATTACATTGTAACTATTACCTGCTAAACATTAGCATCTTAGCATTGTCTGTGTGAGCATGTTAGCATTCTCAGGTTAGCATTTAGCTCATCACAGTGCCTAAGTACAGTCTCAAATGTATGTCAAATATTACTATATTGACTCCTTCTGGGTTGACTATTTCTATTTTGCAACAAAACATCAGGGTTGGATTGTCAGACGTCTCCAAGAAGGCGTGCATACAGCACCAACCAGATAACAGACTACAACCCGGCAAAGAAGTTCTTCACTCCCAGTGATCCCAGCTCTGTGGTGGCAAAGAATCCACTGAGGAGAGTCAAAGTCCAGGAGCTGATAGGCCAGATGAGCCCTGAGCATGAGGCCCAGTGGAGGAACGACTACCAGGTGTGGTCCGTCGCCGTCAAGAATAACATTAACATGATTGCATTTAAGATTACCTGCACTGTTTGCAATTTAGTTGTATCTCACAGATCTCAAACCAGTGCTGCCAAACTGAGCTTTCTTTAACAATGATAATACACATGTTGTATGTTTAAGTACACACATGCACATTAATAAAGACAAAATCTGTTTTAACGGCAAAGGTAGGAGAATCTCATCTTGTGTCATGAAACAGTTGTCATATTGTCATTATATGGAAAACAACAGCATTTGTATTCAGCCTGTGTTGATAAATTAAACAGCCCATCTGACCCTCTGGACTGGAGTGCAATGAAGAACAGACTAATGTGCTCTCCTCAATGATGAAGGCCAAAAAATGTATGAATGGTAATTAGGTTTTAATATTGCTCGGGGAGCATCTCAGTATAACTAAACAGAGTTCGCTGGGCTGTGAAGACATTATATCTTCTATTTGTAAATTAAGCTGAGGATCCACTGCCCTCGTTCCATAATTCATTTGTAGACGATAGTTATGAGTTAATGTAGTAACCTTCTATTAACTTGTTTGTCTATTGCCAGACAAAATTAAAGACAGAAAATGAAGCAAAAGCAAAAGCGTTGACAAAATAAAGGCTTTTACCCTCCTCCAAAAACTCAAAACAGGCCTTCTGTTATACGTATGTATTTGTATTTTTTTTTATCACGCTGCAGAAACCTTATTTGATAATAAAGTAAATATCTTTTTGGTTTTAGTCACTCTGTAAGAGAAAATGAAAAACTTGATCACATCAAGTTGGGATTTAGGAAACTGTGAGGTACTATTTTGCTATTTTCTGACATCTTATGACCCAAACAAGAAAATAAACATGAAAATGAACTTTACATTAATCTACAACAAAAATAATTATTTGCTACAGCCCTATCTGCAATATAGATGATTCACACGAGTATAATCAAACAATGAGTCCTGAGTGTCTCAACTGTTTGCTGGGATATGTGTGTCTGTATGTCACTAATCGCTTGAAAGCACCATGAAATACACATGATTAAACACATGGAAATTGCTAGAATTACCATTAGTAGATGAGGTTCCACATCTCATTTAAACCTGGGTATATTGAATATTGTTTTCAGCCACAGTTGGCAAGCCTGTGTGCCACATCTTCCAGAGGGCATCCAGCCAGCTGTCACAGGCCGCTCACTCAACAGGAGCCGCTCCTGCAGCAGGAAGTGGACTCAGAGCTTCATTTCCAGCCTCAAGAAAATCCTCAGCCCAGCAGCATCAGCACGCCGCCTGCAGCTCGCAACTCAGCTGGAGAAGATGGATCCAGGTCGTCCACTGACAGCCCTTCTGTTGGCAGCGTTGGAGATACGGGTGAGTTCACAAACACCACAAGTCTGGTTTACTGAAAATGCAAACAATTCATTGAATATATCTGCATGTGCATGACTTTATGTTGGATTGAATCAATGTGGTTTTGTTTGTTTTTCTTTTGGGGGAATATGTGTAGGTTATTTTATGGCAGAGTGAAACCAAACCAAACCAATCAACACATCTTTTAAGGGAATAGTTTGTCATTTTGAGAAACACACGTATCCTCTTTCTTGCTGATGAACAGATTGTTACCACTCTCAATTATGTTGTTAAACTTTGCTTTTTGTACGGAGTAAACAAACCAGATATGTTATATATGTTATTTATAATATCAATAATATCAATCTTCTCATTTAACTCTCTGCAAGAAAACAATTAAGTTATGTCCAAGTATTATTTTAACTTCCTTTAATGATAGAAATCCTAATCCCAAATTTCAAACAAAATCTGCTTTTAAAGTAATTTAAGACCACAGTGGACTTATTCAGTCTGATGTGACAAGTATCTTACAAACTCCAAAATCCAAGATGAGAAATGATAACTGATGATCAAGCACAGAGGAGACTCTTTAGAAAGACAGGAAATGGTTTTCTATAGTCGCCAGTGAGCAGTCGCAGATGACAAGCTCCAGGTGGATTTGAATACGTGTCGAGTCACAAAAGAAAAATCCAACCTGTAATATTTCAGATGGCTATGGACACCAGCTATGTCAAGCAGAAACCCCACAGGAGACCCAAACTTCAGATCTGGGTGCAGCCATCCAGCCCAAAGGGGACTGCAAGGCCGTGGTGTCCGGGCTGCTGTGTGGGAAACCAGTGAAGTGGGAGGTCGTCTTTGATATCGAGCCCTTCCTGAACGGCCGAGAACGTGAGGAAAAGGTTCACGAGGAGCTGTGGAACGAGACCTTCCACCACATGGCTGGACGCTCCATCATACGTGACTTTGAGAAAATGGTGGATAAGGAGTGTGAGATTGAGCACGGTGAGGTCTACCAGGATTTAAATGTGTATAGGTAATTTTAAGGATTTTAAAATTGTAATAACAAAATAATATGTAATCCTTTGATATGTTAATCACTTGCGATGATTATATTTTATAATTCACAGGCTCTGGCAGGAAGTACCAGCTATATGCTATTCACACCAGCAAGGCCTGCAATATACTGAGCAAATACACAGCGTTTGTTCCCATTGACCTGGACACTAATGAGTATTTGCAGACATGTATTGAATACATAAACAGTGGTAAGTCATATCGATTTGCTGGAAATCTTAATGTCCCCCATAGTTCCATCCTCTCCACGTGTCTGAACAGAACATTGACCTCAAACAAAACCTGCAGCGACTGGAAATAGCTAGCCAGGCTCTGTGCTAAAGTTTAAAAAGAAAATCCTACTACCCACCAGCACCACTTTTAAGCTCACCAATTAACATGTTTAGGTTTTGGTTCAGTCTAAAGCAAGCCACACATCCAATAGCTAAAGAAGCACTTCCAAATTGTCCAGCTAGAAAACTGTTTATGCGTGCCTTCCTAAACCTCCCAAAATAATTAAATGTTGTTTTCAGGTGAAGGTCTGAAGCGGGGCTCGCATTCAAGGTCTCGTTCAGGGAGCAGGAAGAACAGAGGGTACTCCATAGGTCTGGGTCGCTCTCAGTCTGGTGGCATGTCTGAGGAAGCTGAAGATGTCCTGCTGCCCAACAGTAGGCTTCGTTTGATATACAGTATTTAGCTCGCATTTCATTTCCAACCTTATTGGGATAGAAGTACACGGAGGGTCTCGTACTCCGAGAACCATTGCTGTAGACAGATATCATATTTGGGGAGAAGGTGGAATGAGATTTTTCAAGATTTATGTTCATCTATTAAATTCTATTTTAATATGAAATGGAAAGGTTGCAGTCCTGCATTGCTGGTAGCTAGGAGATATTGAGCACTCAGAAAGCTGCGTGCTGCTTTACATTAAAAATACTTCAACTTCAGCAAAAGGGCACACTATTTTAAATTGGCTTTCAGTGGTGGCATAGCAACAGCAGGTTATTGAAACTAGCACACTGCTTGAGCATCTGCTCGCCACTGCCAGTTAAAAAGAAGAGGCGCACACACAGCGGGGGGACAGATGCAGATGAGCATCAATGTTGGTAATGCTGTGTTTTTTTTTAAACCTTAGGTTTTGAGGAAAAAGAGGGATTTCGTAAAAAAAAAAAAAAAAGAAACAAAACAAAATAAAGGACAGCTGAGAGTTAATTTCCATCTTTTCATCATCTTAGATGGAGAGGATGGCGTCTCTCCATGCAGCACCCCCTCCTCCACCGGCTGGGAGAGAAGTAGCTTCACAGAGGGTACGTGCAACACATCAACCGGTCAGTGAATTTGCTGCCACGCATCCATTTTCCTCCAGAAAGACCTTTGACATACACCGCCTGCCAGTCTGTCTTTTTCTGGGCAAAACTGTTGCATTGTTCCAAATGTGAAACATGACATTGTCGACATTTAAGTCCCTCTTCTTGGAAGTGATGACTGAAGTCGACACAATGTTGTGGCTTGTATGGACAAATGCTGTCCAGACCTTTTAAAAAGAATAAAAACACAACAGTAAGCACATACTGAAGGCAAAAACACACAAGAAGAATTGTTTTACCTGCAGAGGAGAGACAGCTGGAATATGTGTCCTCCGGTTTCACTTACATCTCATTGGGTGTTTTACCTCTTTGTTAAGTAAGACTCGTGTTGAGAACTAGACAGAAAAGTGACAGAAAATGCCACGGTTTCTTTCTCTCTCCTGCGCTTGTCTAATACTGCCTCTGTCTCTGTCTCCAAGTCTTCCAAAGGAGTCCGTCTGTGACTTCTGACCAATCACAGAAATTGGTGGAGAGCCTTTTTTCTGCCAGGTGGGTGATTGGAAACTGGCTGGCTGCACACATGTTCTGTTCCCGCCGTGACCATGTACCATGTTCACCATCTTAGTTTAGCGTGTTTGCATGCTTACATTCGCTAATTAGCACGAAACACAAAGTACAGCTGAGGCTGATGGGAATATCTTTAGTTTTGCAGGTATTTGGACATTAACCAAAGTTATTACATTATATTTTGAGGGCAACATGAATGTATGTACAGTTGTTGAGACATTTCACACAAAGCCTCATGGTGGAGCTAGAGGAAAAGGTGATTAGGAAAGGTGATTAGGACCAAAGTGATTAGGATTCATCCTCTGGGGACAGTGAATGTATTTACAAAATTGTAGGGCAATCCATAGTTGTTGAGATATTTCAGTCCGAAACAAAGTGACCGATAGCTAGAGCCACGCTGCTAAAAATCGTGAATTTATTGGATTTCTATTGCAAATCTATAGATGTACCAGAATAACCAATAACAATTGCTTCATGAAAACAATATGTGGTGTGTGCTTAACATACTGTGATTTACACCCGCCTCTCCCTCTCCGCTTTAAGGTTGGCCCTCAGCAGGACCCGTCTCCTGACTCGGGCTGCCAAAGGATTCATGGGTCGATCTCACAGCAAGTCCGGTGATTCAATTGGAGAGAGTGACAACGAGAACAAAGACTACATTCCCCTGGTGAGCTGCAGATCTATAACATGTGATTGCTTTTGATGGACATTAATTTGGACTGACTTGACTGTAGTTTTGTCTGAAGAGACGGATGTGACACAGTCTATGTGTTTTGCACTATGCATATCTGATTTAAATCCAACACCCAGGCCTGGCTCTAGACTACAGGCCCTTTGGGAGCCCGCCTTACTTTGTGTGTGTTTTTTTGTGAGAAAGCAAGAGACACACATACTGTACACATGACTGCATGAACTGTCCGAGAACAGTTTTTGCTACCGTGAACCATCATTTTCTCAGAGGGCAGACTAGGCTATTTTTGGCTGTTTCAGGTACAGACAGTATAAGAAAAATGTGTTTTTTTGATCATTAAATCATTAAAACCCAGACTACAAGTATGAGCCTGAAAATGAGCATGATATGTCCACTTTAAAGGTTGGAGAAAAACAACAACACAAGCTTTACTTTCTGTTAAACTGTAAACTATTTTCTTCTGCTCAGGTGTTGTTGCAGTTGGCTTGTGGTGCATTTCCGCTAGACACAGCTCTGTGTGAAGCCATCAGTGTGCCCATGGACAAGTTAAAGTGGACGTCCCCCTTCACCAGCCACCGCAGCAGCCTGGGCCACCTGTCTCACTCCAGCAGCCGCCGTGCTGAGAGTGCCGATGACGGACACAGATCACCGTGTGAAACAGAAACAAATCATCAACCTGCAGAACACACTGTAGGCATCTACAGGCCTTCTCAACTGCCCAGGAGTTTGTGGACGGATGCTGGTCCTTCCACGTTAAGCAGCCCATCCACGGCGTCTGAGCCCCCACTCTCCCCATACTCCCAGGTGGACAGTGGACGGGGCTCTGGGTCAGGGGGCTTGGAAGCAGCATCGCCCAGCAGTGTGCCAAAGAGAATGCTGGATCCAGAGAGCATGGTGTGGGCCACCGCTGTGGCCCTCGCTTGGCTGGAGCACAGCTCTGCCAGTCATTTCATAGAGTGGGAACTCGTAGCTGCCAAGGCCAGCATGTGGCTGAATGCGCAGCAAATTCCAGAAGGCCGAGACTTAGCCTCCGTCAAGGCTACTGCCAACCAGCTCTTCATGATCCTCAGACACTGGGATGAAAACCTGCAACTAAACATGCTCTGTTACAACCCTAACAGTGTCTGAGGCCTGCTAATCCAAGGATGAAACAGACCACGGAACGCACTCAATTCCATACTATGCTAACTGGGGCTGTAGTATTCTCTGTTTGTCCTCTGGAGTCTGATTTTGCCGCTGCAGTTGTGAACAATATGTATTGTCTTCTGTTATGTGCTGTATCTCCAAACATATCACAGGCTCTTCAGAGGCACTATGTGCAAGCTTTTACCTCGCTGGTGCCACATACTGTAGCTGGATCCCTGTTAGCTAAAGGATCTAATCAGATTTATTCCACAGATTTGAGTTTCATGGCAAAGAACGTCAGTCTTAAATTAGTAGCATGCTGGACCACTGACTGTCAACATCTGAGAAAAGCTCTTATTGTCATCACATTGATGTTATGGGGTGAATGCTGCAAAACGATTGTAAGAGAAAAACTGTTCGACCGATTGACACATACAGATTTTTCTGAATTGATTGTGTTGTGGAAAAAAATGTTACATGACAACATCTGGGTACTTGCAAGCAGTACTGCCTGTCTTTTCTATTACCATTACAGTGTTCTTAATATTTGCCAATTACTGCAGACACAGAAAAATATGCAAAAAGCTAAAGAAAATATAAAATACATGTTAAAATGTGTTTAAAAAATATGTGGCTTTGGTGGGAATCTATGAATGTGTATCCCACTAGCATGTCATTTACTGTTTATTATTTAATGATACCTATAGTTTATATTTGTATACCTGTGTTAGAGGTTATGATCATGCATTAGTTTTTTGATTCAAAGAGAGTAACACAGACCTGGATTCAGTAGCCCCCAAACAGAGGGTGCAAAATTAACCTCGTTATAACTAAATGTTTACTGTGTAATATGGATATTTACACCTCACTAATTTAAAAAGGGGTTGCATCACACAAACCAGATCTCATAACATGAGATGTCCAAGACTTCAGCTTCCCCACACACATGAATGGCAAAAAATAATTCCATTAGAAAGATGCACTCAGTAGAGCGAAGATCTCCGCCAGGTGTGTCTGCAACAACCACTACTGTAATGTGTGATTGAATGAATACAACCCACAATTGGGTGACTCCACTGGTCTTGAGACTGATGGGCTGTAAGGCATCGTAAAACACACTTAAGCAAACTTAAAAACAAGCTGCGATGTACGCAGGCAAAACGGCTCGAAGTTGTCGCATATGACATTTCATACAAACTTGATAAAAACTAAATTAAACTCACGTTCACTGCCACCGCAGAGCAAAACAAACAGACAAGTTTTATTCCAACATCTGAGGTCCAATGTTTTAATACTCTGGCTCTCCTGTTTGGACAACTAGAGTTAAATATTACACATTGTGGACGTGTCCTGACAAGAGAAGTGAGTGAGAAGTTAGCAGACAATAACTGGCAGGCAATAAAAGATGTTTTGAAAAAGTGTGAGTCACTGCAACCATGAGAAGTACTTGAGCATGCAGCCATAACTGGCCACCCAAACTATTATGCAGTTTGCTGCAGCAGATTGCGAGATTATAGCCAAGGTGCACACTCACTCACGGACACACACACACACACACACACGACCGATTGCATGATCCTGCTGGCGGAGATAATCATACAGCTCTTCTACACTGCATCAAATTCATGTTGACACTGAGAAAAATGTGTTCACCGTTTTACAGACGCTTCTTTTTCCAACGATGTGTTTGGGAACAACTCTTTTTGGGTCGCTGTGTGTCACATGGTTAAGTTGCAATACCCTGTGCAGCTAATACTGAAAAATTGACTGAGCTGCAGTCGAATATAAAAAAGAAAGAAAAGTCGAATGTCTTTTCCTGACATCTCCCCTCACCCTTGTTAATTACAAATGAGGACGTGTCGATACACACAAACCTAATAATGGATTTATTCACAGCTGGTGCAACCTAATCCTGAGGAGTGTGGGCAGTGCTGCTCTGGAGATCAGAGATGAAAGCACCCCGCTAGTTCTGTCATGCTCACAGCTCATTTACCGCAAGTGCCTGACCAAGGTCTAAAGTTGGCAGAAAATGTAGATCTGTTCATTGCAGTATAAGCTGCGTGGGTAATGATTGGCCCTTTTCCTGAAATAAACCCTTTCTTTCTTTTTTATTTGTTTCTTGAATCTGTGTGTGGCCTCTATGGGCATCTTTCTCTATTGATTGACTCTCTTATTCCATCACAGTGTTGCTTTACTCAGGTATTTCTTCATTTTTCCACTCTGACTGAGTTGCATAGATCCTTCTGCATGAACACTTGTGTTTATGTTATGCTGTTTAATGACTGAATTGCCACATTGGAGCCAGTAGTGCAGTATTTGCTCTCTGAAATGACAAATACAGTAGATGTCATATAGTAATATTTTTGTGCTGTAATTGCAGTAGTTAAGTGCAGCTGTAAGTGTTATAAATTGTATTTTTTATGTATACTCGGTCAGTTGTATAGTGCAGTACCTTTCAACTTGCTGTGTGTGCCTTTATAAATGATTGTTGACTGTTCGAGGGTGTTGAAAGCTTAGTGTCTTTATAAATGTTGATGCTGTGATCAGCTCTGCAGGTGCATGTAATAAAAGAACTACCACCAAAGTTACAGGTTCTATAGCTGTTATTTTCCCGCTGCTAACAACAAAGGGTCAACAACAACAAGGATCGATGCTCGGACCCTTCTCTTCTTTATGCTCCCCAGTGGCACTTTGTGTGAAATTTTGAAACTGAGCGCCGTGGAACTTATTGTCAATGGCTTCTCCATCCACTGTGGTTTGGACTGTACCCTATTTGTAGGTCACTTTTAACAGCGTTAACTCTTTTTGCTCCACACTTTACAGCACAGTACACACCACATCTAGTTATTGTAATTCACAATGAACATTGAGCTTCATTCACGCACAAATATGTGCTTAAACCCTGCATACAAGCGTTTTACACTCAGATCTAGGATTTATCCATAACTTCTTTTCTAAATTTGTTCGTACAAATTTGGAACTGCTAAAAAATTTAAACACACACACACACACACACACACACACACACACACACACACACACACACACACACACACAGACAAACATATTAAATAACAATGCAATTGACACCCTTTCATCCTCATCAGTTATTTTCATGATTAAAATATTCAACTATAAAAACTGTGTCTCCCAGTCGTAGCGTACAATTGAGAATGTCAATATTGAAAAGTAACAGATTTGGTTTTCATTGTTTTTATTATGAATGGACGGTTACTCCCACCATTGTCTTATGCCTTAGATAGTCAATGTTTAGTCGTCATATTCTTATGCTTCCTTGCTTTAGAAGCCATGCTTATCTCTTACAACAACTTCACCGCTTTCTCCAGGATACACCTCACGGCTAATTCACACGTATTAGTGAATGAGGCGCGTTGTCTTCTCCAGTAGATCTCATAGTTCAGGACATGCTGTATAAACCCACCCGGCTCAGTAGGTAATGTTATGTCAAGGTGACATCCACGGCATTGGTTGTATTTCTCCAGCACATGTGACACGGACACATGCCTCATTAACAACAAAAGCTGCCATAATATGGCTCGTTAAAATTAAAGAGGGCGCTAGCAATTAGGATGACAAGCCATCATTAAATAAAATTCCACCCTTTACAAGATAAAACATGCAAGGCGTGAGAGAAAGAGAGACATTTGAAAAGGAAGAGTGAATTACATAAAACAGAAAAATGATTATTACAGTGTTGTTAATAGCCACCCTCACCCCTCCTTCATAGATCAAACAAGACTCAACCCAGACAGTGAAGTGCGTTGAAGAGCACACATGAGAGTTGGGTGAATCTATTCAGGTGCATTGTGCTATTACATATGGAAACATAGCGTGCCTATTCATTTATCAAATACACAATCAAAGGGAAATTACCAGATAGAAGCACGTACTGTTGCTAGGCTACTGACTATAAGACAAGGCATGAGGACATTTATACTTTTTTAAATTACATAATTTCCTTTCGTATATTCTCTACGTGTTTAATAATGTGATGATTACGGGCTAGTTCTGTTCACTGATGGAAGCAATAACTGAGATGTAGGCTGAAAAACCTCAAACCTCTCATTTAGCGCCACTCACACAATGGTCATTACGCTCCTTTATGTTTCACACAGGTCTGTCCGACAGTGAATCTTCAGCGGGACAATTATTCTCTTTGCATTACAGCTACTTAAACCTACTCCGGCTGCAAAGACGGAAGCTGGCGTCTAATTTGATCTCGGGCCTCTATATCACGACAGTTTAATGTGCACATAAATAGCGCACAGAACAAACACAAGTAATTACACTGTGGCGGTTGAAAGCGAGTCCGGAGGCGTGTCCTGGGGTAAAATAAATTGAAACGTGTCTCAACTTCGGGGATGATGAGCAGTTCCCATGGAGACCATTGGTCCATCAGAAGTGCTGCACAGAAACTCAACAATGAGGTTTAGTTTGCTTTGATCCACAGCATCTCAGAATATGCGTCATTTATGTATTTATTTATAAACTGACTTATTCACTGTATCTATTGGTATGTATTGGCTTTATCATGGGTACATGTTGGTTTCACTTGTAGAGAAAATATATTATATATTATATATATTATATTATAATATATCATTTTTTTTAAGCAGGATAAAGGGAAAAGATACCTTGAGCATTGTAATAGTAATGCCATCTTCATATCTTTGAACAGCTAAAAGAGAAATATGATCTATCTAACAAACACTTTGTTTGTTACGTATTGGTAACTGAGAGCCTTCCTAAAAAAAAAAAAAGTCTGGGTGAGAAAATGATATTACCTGGCCTGACAAAGGTGCTTCACAGGAACACATTTGGTGTGATTTGTGTGACACCCTGATACAAGCCGAATCATGGATACACCAATCCCTTTAGACTCAGAGCTCTGTCACCAGGGGGAAGTCAGAGTTCTGGAAACATCTTTGATATATCTGCTGCTGCTGTGTCCAGACTCTAACATGTAAGTTGTGTTTCCTCCTCTCTTTATCAGAATAGAAATCACAAATGAATAACTGTATGCCGTTAAAGAAAATCACATATGTCGTGAAAATAACATATGAAGTATTTTTAAGGATCCGGCAGCCTTTGATTTAATACATGGAAGCATTAACTCTATCAATGGCGCACTTGCTTAATACCTTTGAACTGGCTCCAATAAGTAACATCCAGGTATAATCCAAGATACTTGGAGTACCTTTTGTTGATAATACTAACTAAGACTTTGAATGCAGGGCTTGTGATGGAGTACTTTTACACTTCGGTATTGCAATTTTCATGTAAGATTTGAATACTTCTTCCATCACTGCACTGCGTGGCTTGAACCAAAACAGAACACCTACAGTCAGAAGCATGGACTATGTGTCAAGGTCCCTGTAGTATCAGCTTCATCTTGAAAATAATGAAATTGGAAGTATTAATGCAAAGTAATGATAGGACTCAAAAAGCTTCCCAAATACTTTTTTTATTCAGACAAAAGATTAGAAAATTCCTGTCATTTAACTAACAGTGTGGCTTTTAAAGTACCCTTTTATTTATTGCAACATAGCTGTGTACTGCAGAATAAAATAACTTGTATGAGCTTTAAGTGCAGTGAAAAACATATAAAATACAAATAATTTAAAATAATATATGACATTTCTATAAAGATTCATGGTTTGTTGGAGCAGATTACACAGTAATCCCATAATGTTCTTCAGATCGTCACGCCTCAGGTGGTATTCGCCTGATTAATGACACCGTCTGAGATCATCTTTGTTTTGCGAAAAATGATATCCAACATGTTGTGTGTCAGACCAGATGGCTGTGTGAATTCTGAGGATTTGAATCAGGGCCAACTGGTGCATGTGCAACATGTGATCTCTACAACATTTTAAATTGGTGTTAATCTGAAAGTAAATGCTGTAAAGATGTAGCTCTATAGCTCTCATCATGCAGTTCTTGCACACGCCTCATGTGGTACTGAAATTCAAAATCTCATTTGGGGAATAATAGAGGGAAAGTCTTTGGCTCACTGTGTACGTGGCTTGAGGAGGGTCACCGTCTCCTCATTGGTCCAAACAGATCGGATGTTTTCGTCTCTCCGGCGGAAGCTTCAGTTGACATTTAAAGTCACATGCTTCATGCAGGTCATGGTTTATTTGACTGTTTATTCCGCTCAGGTTTTTAATAAGCAAATTGTAAATGCGCAAAAAAACAGGTTATGGAGATGTTCTCATTACCAGTCCCTTAGAGCCAAGCTGCAAGCAGAGCAAAAAATATATAACAAACAAAAACAATGCAAGAAATAATGGAACAGGAAACCAAGGAATGGAGTGACATGAATATTTGTACATAGCTCAGGGTCAGTTATGGAACTGATAGTTAAGTGGCCGTGACGAGGCTTTTAGTGCCAGAGAGAGTGCATAATGCTCCTCCTGCTTCATTACACTGTATATCTGACATTTAGCTCAGGTTCCCAGAGACCAACCAGCGTCAGCTCACTCCAAGAAAACAGATATCCGTGGGGAAGCTGCTGAATACCAAGTCCCCAATGCAATGTACAATAAAACACTCACGGGATGACGTGGAATGATAAAATGGATTTTTATGAAATAATAAAGAATCAGTTGAAAGTAAACGGGGATTCTTCTGTGCAAACTGCTTTAATATGGCTTTATAGAGCCAGAGAGGGAGCCCCTGCTGGCCTAACATTTACTCAAGCTTTAGCTTATTCTCCAGCCTCTAAGCTGGCTCCACTTCTGCTTTTCAATTGTCTGGCTAAAAATGTGCTTCAATAATTTAAAAAAACAGAATAAAGATTTTTTAAATGTGGCTGGATCACAGTGAAACTTCAACCATTGAGTTGTTGATTTTTATGTCACAAAGCTATACATAAAGATTGCCTTTGGATAAATGGCTTTTAAAATATATCTGTTCCTCATATTTCAATGTACAGCCAGTTTGAAATGAGGTCAAATAATAATAAATAAAAAAAAAAAAAACAGCAGGAGGTGAGAAGAGCTGCTTGCATTGGGGGAGCATGTGGCTTCAACATTTCGTGTTTATTCGTGTTCTCTGGATTCCAAATCTTCAATGGCTTGTTTTCCTCACAGCCAGACATCCCCCTCTCCTGGCAGAAATCTACATTTCCTCCAAACTCCTTTCTCCTTGTGTCTATATTTTACACAATGATTGAGTGACACTGAGTATTTGGTCTACGTTGCATTTTTCTTTAATAAGATTTCTGTTGCACACAGACACAGAGAAAAGTCCAACAATCAGAGTCTGTGATGGTTCAGAGGGCGCCCCTGTGCAGGACCCTTTAACAACTCTTACATGTGATGTCAGTACAGTCAGTGCTCTGAGCTCAATGCTTGTAGAACATGAGCACATGCAGCATGTGCCTTTATAGCAGCAAAAGAAAAAAAGAAAACGGGACAGGGTCAGCCTGTTCCCTTTCTCCCAAACAACCTGAGAGAAGCTTGTACCCGACCTCATGCTTCAGAGTCTTGCAGAGAATTGTTTTTGTGTGTGTGAACCACAACCTTTTCCTCTGGCTCACAAAACACAACCTTTATTAACTCACCAAAGCAAAATCCCATTATTAAAAGAATGTTCAGGTAGAATGAATAGACTGTATGCGCTTCCAATACAAAATGTAAAAAGTGAAAATGAGACGGTGCCTCGACGACAACGTAGTGGGCCAAGCTTGGCCTTTTTCTACCTTTGTTGCGAAAAACAAAACAAAAAAATTCAAGCAGGAGCAAAAATGACTTTCCTGAACTTAATTCCAGCCAGTAGCGTGACTCTTAGAAGGCAAAAGAATAAGAACTGTAGACCACCACTTAAATACGCCTTTAAAGTGTATTCTGAAGGGCTTAACTGTGTGCGTGTGCACTCGCCTAACATTAATCTATTGGTATTTTAAAAAAAGGCAACAAAATGCACCATTAATACCTTTGTCAAAGACATATTTCCTGTGTTATGACTGTAAAATGAAAAGGCAGACATCTTATGTGTATTACCACATTAGCTGTTGTAAAGAGGCACCACCCGGTCTATCGTCGCCCTGCAGATGGGGCATTTCTTTGGCTCTGGCAGGACGGCGAAGCATTGGGTACAGGCACACACGTGACCACACTCAAGAAACACACAGGACCGCTCGCGGCTCAGGCAGACGGTGCAGCTGGTGGGCGACACGCTGCTCTCCTCTACGTTGAGTTCACGCATGCGTTTCTTCTGCTGCTCCTTGAACTCCTCGAGCATGCTCCTCTCCTTCTTGCTCTCTCTGTGGTGGAAGTATTGCTTCCACAGGATGAAGAGGAGTGTGGAACAAGCAGCGACGCCAAAGACAACGGCCAGAATCCTCCACAGTCTGACGCTGTTCCCCTGCTTCTTGAGAAGAGCCTCGTAGTCCAGTCGCGTGAGGAAATAACGAAAGCCCTGTTTGGGAGGTTGGAGCTTGATCAGGTTGTTGTCCAGGACCAGCTCTCCGACACCCGTGACGCTGTCTCCCAGCCGCAGCATCTCCTCCGCTTCATGGATGCCCTTGGGTCGCTCCCCGCTGATGAAGTGGCCAATGACGTTGGACAAGGACTGGACAGTGGGGTGGAAGTTCTCGTATGTGGTCTCCAGGTCCAGCTCGGCCGCGTCTAGCGGACGTATGACCCGAACTGCGGTGGCGATATCGTCGTCGTGAGACCCGAGAGAAAATGGAACTGTGTTGGTGCGCTGGTGGATGACTTTCTCTGTGTTGTTCCTGTTCACAAATATCACAAGTATTAATGATTTGTTTCGGGGCTGCAACGAACGATTATTTTCATTATCGAATTAATCGGGTAGCTGCTTGGTCCGGCAGAAAATATGTCAAATATATATTAAATACGTTATGATATTTAAAAGGAGAATAACTGGAAATCCTGAAATATTACAGGAGCAGGGATTTTGGGGGATTTTTTGTTTGTTTATAAATTGCTCATAGGATTAAAATAGTATTAAAAGAGTCGCAGATACATTTTCTGCCGATCGATTTATCGTTTCAGCAGTTTTGTCAGATTATGTCTGTCATAATAAGGGGGGGGGGGTGTCTACTACCACTACTTTTCCCCTCAGTGGCTGGAGGGGCGTGTCCATGTCTGTGCTAAGAGTGCCAACATTTGAATTGGACCAGTGACATTTACATTCTATTTAATGAGCTGCAGCAGCTCATTAGCCTTCTAGCCTGCAGACTGACGTTAGCAGTGAATGTTCCCGCTGTGAATGTTTGTTTTTTTGGTCGTTCAGTACAAGAATAGTGTTCATGTTTTTAAGTTGGATAAGACTTTAGCAGACAAGCTAATGTGTGTTGCCTAAGATAGAATAGTGTTGTTGTTCTGACTTTTTCTTGCTTGGAGAACACATGATTTACCGAGCACATATGTACGCTGTATTGACAATGGTTCTTGAATGCTATTTAATGTGAGTTGGACTTAAAAGCAATAGCACAAACTGCCATAGAAGCTTCATCGTGCCTTCATTCTAATGACTGTATGCACTTTACTGGGAACAAACCCTTTCATTCACTTACCACAGATGAGTGGTGCGGTTCCACACCATCTTTTCCTCCTTTAAGGTCAGTCTTTCAATCACGCCTTTGCAGTTATCAACAAACTGGCTGTTTAGAGTTTCCTTCACAGATCTTACTACACCTGCAGCATGCAAAAAAAAAAAAACACAGGACACGGTGTAAAACTACAGTAATAATTATGCATGGTACATTTTAGTCTTTATTTAGGCTTTTCGAGGGTGGCCGGACAAACCTTCTATGACGGCATACGGGACACATCTTCCAGGAGTCTCAGACAGGAGGTTTTTCAAATCCTGGTCAATGGAGACTTTCTTGGCTTCCTGCGGAAACAAACAGTGAACGATTAACATACAGAACATAACAGGCAATAAATGAACACACTGCTGACATTCACATGACCGAGACAGAGTGCTCTGAAATGTGGCTGACCTTTAATCTGGCAACCGTTGTAGCGCGGCTCTTGTAAAAAGAATAGAAGAGTGCAGTCAGCGCTGAGCTGGTGGCTAACACCACGATCTGCACAGTCGAGGGTTTCCCACTGGAGTCCATCCTGTGACTTGCAGCATTCAGTGCTGTTGTGACAGAGAGGACAGATTAAGAGGTGGTCTTTCAATCACAGATATGTTTGTTGTATTTACGAGAAACCAGTGGTGGAAAATAAGTAAAATTCGAGCTACTTGTCATTGTCATTTTCTTCTTAGTTCCTTGTCTACTCTAATTCTAAAACAAATACATATAATATGGTGCTCTCAAAGTGGCATTTTTGCATGAGTGCTTTTACTTTTGATGCTTTGAATATATATTATGAATATTTCTCTGCTTCTAACTAAGTAAACATTTGAATCCTGGATTTCCAACTTGTAACAGATTGTTTTTTTACCTAGTGATAGTACTACTTCTACTTAAGTAAAGGGTCTGAATATTTCTTCCACCACTGAACCAAACATTTATGACAACACAGACTGTAGACAGACTGTAAATAAACCCAAGGGGGCTGAGCTGCTGTTAGATTGAACTCAAATAAGTGAGACGACTAGCTTGGTAATCGTCAACAACGAGTACAATTAGAAGACATTGACACAGTGGTAAAATATCCATTATTTAGCTGGCTATGGCTTATTAAATGACAACCATAACGTACTTTAATTGTGCATTGAGAAACTTTGATTACTGAAGTCCAGCAGCGTTAACGTTACGTTAGTTGAGCTGCTCATTCACCACTAACGTTAGCTGAAGTTAACCCAAGATAACGTAATGCTAACGCTAACTAAATCGCGACCTTTGTAATGCCATTGTCCTTGGTTAAATAACCACTTAGTTTAAAGCCTCGAAAACTTTAAAATTTAGCGTTAAGCTAGTTAACTGTCAAACTAGCTAAATGTTACATAGCAGTGCCACACACTTCCTCTATTGAGCTCACTAGCTAGCTAGCGTTAACTGTTAAATTAGCAGTTTGTCTGCTACAGTAGCTCGCGACGCCTCAGCTAAATTAACACGATTTAACCGCCCGTTTAAAGTCTATCGTAGCCGACATGTTACAAAGCATTTAATTAAGCGATAGCTTATTTAAAGCGCTGTAAAAAGGGGGTCTCTAACCTGTAGTCCCACTCGTCCCACTGTCAACAGAGGTTTAACAACAGCTGCAGGACTCCACACTTCAAAATAAAAGCTCCTGAGATGTGATACTCCTTACTGCCAGCAGATGGCGGTGTAGAATAATTTATGGTAAAGAAAGACGCGAATCTTTGAATAGTACAATTCAAGATGGTTTGTTTTACTGGGCCATCTTTCATCTTATTAGTAACACCTGTGCTTTTCCCAGTGGTGGAAGAAGTACTCAGCTTATAATATGCATGTTAACATGTCCGTGTACAACAACATGTAAAAGCAGCAGTACCACTAGTAAAACAATAAAGTAAAAGACCTGCATCAAAAATGTATTTAAGTAAGAGTTCAAAAGTACTGGAATCAAAATATACGTACAAAAAGTAAAAGTAATCATTATGTAGAACGGGGTATTATATTATTGGATTATAATCAATGCTTTAATGTGTACATCACTTTAATGTTGCAGCTGGTAAAGGTGAAGATAATTTGAAATACTTAATATACATAGCTTATCTGTTGATTAAATATTGTATTATTAACCTAAATCTGCAAAGTAACTAGTAACTTAAGTTATCAAACAAAAGTACTGGAGTATAAAGTGCAACTTTTCCTTATGAATTGAAGTGGAGTAGAAGTACAAAGTAGCAGGAGATGGAAACACTCAAGTAAAGTATAAGTACCTCAAAACTGCACTCTAAGTAAAACTCCTAAATTCAAAATGCAGCTTAATGTACTTAAAATTTGCTTTAAAATCTATTATCAGCAAAATGTATGAAAAAAAAATGTAAAGTATTAGAATTATTAGATTATTAGATAAATTAGATTATTCTGTTTTTCATCTCCAATGAATACATGTAAGAACATTTTGCTGTTGGAATTTGTTAATGTGGATTCAATTTTAGATACTTTGTCTACTGTAGATTAGTAGTATTGTATAGACTACTGCATCATATCATATAAACATATCATGTGTTTTTATATGTCATAAGTAAATAGCAACTGTAAGTGTCAAATCAATATAGTGGAGTATAAAGTATAATATTTATCTGTAGTTTGGTGGAAGTATAAAGTAATATAAAATGGGATACTCAAGTACAAGTATCTGAAAATTGTAAGTGCAGTTCTTGAGTACATTATTGGCTTTTCTACTATGACAAAGTCAAAATGTCCTCCCCCACTGGACCCATAGCTGTGTTCTAATTACACAATACACACTAATTCAAAGCAGGTTTTGAGTTGTAGTCTATTCACACCAAAAAAGCACAATATACTTTATATGGAGATCAGAGTTGTGTAAAAGACACACTTGCAGTAACACCGCAAACGATGTGTGATTGCACAGCTATAGGCACACAATTTACGAGTATATTTACAACCATGGATTTAGATCTAAAATCTCAGTCCATTTCAAGGTGTAAAGATCTCAAGTACCAGATGATAGTATCAGGTAATCAATTATAATTAGTAAAACCTTTATTCATTAAGGTCGTCTCATTGAGATCAAGCTGTTTTGCAAGAAAGACTTGCTTACACCAGGAGTAAAAAGAACAGATGTTGACATAAGGGTACATTCTTTATCATTTCCTGTTTATACAAGGCTTTTTATTATTTTTTAAACTGTAAAAACAGTATTGTATGACAAGATTAGTACATAATACATACTGTATGCATGTAGTATGGATTGGGATACTGTGTTACTTGTGTTGTAGCAGTGCAACCACTAACATTAATGATGGCTCTGCTCCTTTTTTGGAAGACCATTCATCCGTGCAACCATTATTAATGTCATGCCTTTTACTTATTTGCTTCTCTGCACCCAAATAAATAGAGTTGCATTAACTGGTCAAATGTTCATAATTTCATGAATTGAATATCATGAAGCAATAAATTAATATCTAAGGAGATTTAAAACAGTTTGTCTCTTTTTTACTCTGTTGGTGTTCAGAGAGTTTTCCATCTCACGCTCCATATGTCTCTTGCCCCGTTTACACATTCTTCTTGTGCCACTGCAGAGGACATTAAGTCAGGTTTTTAGGGAAATTAATTCAGATTCCAACCCATAAAAATGTGAGGGGGCACCGGCACCCACAGGCCACCTGGAGGGTATCAACACTTCCTCGCCCTGATTTGACCCTTTCAGCTATAGTTCATCTCTGCAGGCTGCATACAGATAATGCTTGCTGCACTAGTATTAACGGCACACTCCAACCTTAACCACGACTTTAGGTATATATTTATTATTATTATTATTATCATTATGTCAATTTCACTCCTCTGGTTACACATACTGTATAAATATGGCAGGATGAATGACACAAATGACGGAACTGATGACTTGTAATGTAAATACCTGCAATCAACAACAACATGACTTTGAGTCTACTTCAAATTCATAAAAATGGCACTCAGGTAAATTTGGATGAAAAAGAAAAAAATCCCGGGAAGATTGGATGTTGTCAGACAACAGATTGTTGGTAGATTTATAACAATGTGTGCAGTAAGCCTTTTGTTGTGATGAATTGCACCTCATATCTGACAAGCGCCATATTTCAACTGGAATAACTGAATTTGCCTTTTTATATATTGCTTCATTGCACATTCTCATTGCATCATGCGTGCGGTGTACTTCTTCAGAGTTGTTAGGATGTCAACAGAAAGACGCTTCTCTGAACAAAGCTGTTTTTTAACTTGAAAATTCATGCACCGCTAACCAGTAGCGTGAGGTAGCTATGACAGGCCCTCGTGCCAGTTAGTAAAGAAGCACACACAAAGACACACACCATTGTACTGTCACTTCACATGATCAAATAGAGACAATCATCATTGAATATCTAAAAATATTCTTTTAATTGAATGATTTTTTCACCGTTTTTATACTTGTAGAAGAAGCTTATACTTTAGTTTGATATTGCTACTGGAGGGAGGAAAACCTTGATGGAGATGGGTTAGCCTTTTCGAGGGTGTATGTAACAGATAGCAAGACCACAAGTACAATATGAGTTTAAAATTAAACAGAGGTGTATTTCTGAGGTGGAAAACAAGGATTTTATTACATGGTCCGATCTCTCTACTCCCCCCAAACCTGCTTCAATGCACCCACGCTTGCCTGCACTGTCTATATTTACACCCCTGCTGCTAGCACTGACTGAGACTGCTCATAATGCCAGGTAAAGCAAACATTTACAAAGAAACATATAGCATAACTTTGGAATGCACAGATTTTTGGAGTTTGTGTCAAGAGCAATATAGAGACAATACTCTACTTCAGTGATTTTATTGTTTTTGATAAATTAATAGATTTGAATACACTACATAATAGAGATATCTAGTTGATGGATCATATTGGAAATATACTTTATGTTTTGATTCTTTATTTGCTCCAGGTTCTAAAAAAAAGCCCCATTACAATCCAATAAAACACTGGTAGTGCACAGGCAGTGATAGCCTGCACCAGAGCAATAGAGCTGCTCTGGGCTAAAAAAAAAAAGATGTCTCTGTATTAGTGATGTTTTGCTGTCCAAATCCTGTCGAAGCCTGTACTGGTCACTGACATGGACTGAGCCTATACTTCTCAGTCTGGAACAACCTTCTTAGTAGATGCTTTCTGTTGAAGTAGGATAAGAAATGATGCCCTAATTAGGACTGTACTGTATATTACATTGCTCTGTTGACATTTTCAGCCTCTACATCAAAAGTTAATCATCAAACAAAAAATTACAATTCACACCAAGTTAAATTTTTTTGTTTGTATCATATGAATTTACGGTATTTACACTGTAAAAAGTGTACTTTGACAGGCACACAGCGGAGGTAGACCTGTTCAGAATTTTAAAAAGTACTTTAAGGAGGGTTGTTGAGCTAAATTATACCTCACAAAAGCAATGTGTGCAAAATGGTGAATCATTAAAGGGTAAAGGATAGATGTCAATTGATCATCTGTATCAGCCAATCCAAAGCGTGATTGCATCCACTTCGGGGCCTGTATGCCTTCTCTTTACTTATTTTTCTCTGCTGTCATATGATCATATGTTTTATATAAACAAAAATATAACTTATTTGCAACATCAATGGCTTCTTCTCTGAACTACCCTTTAGAAACAACAAATATGAACAGGAATAGCTGCCACACAAAACTCCTCTGGCTGATTTATTCTGACATAATCAATCTGACGTGTGAATGATTACCCTACGAGAATTTTGCGGCTTGCCTCAGAAGGGAAAAAGGTGCAACCATGTTTTCAACCCCAGCAAAAGAACAGAAATGTCCTCTGGGCTTCTATTCCACATTAGTCACCTAGTGTTGTGGACAAAGTCTACCTTGTAGATCCTCTGCCTACGTAAAAAAAAAAAAAACTCCCACTACCTTATTTCCTTTGTGTGTGTGTGGGTGTGTGTGTGTCACAAAAACATTTCCGTTCAAATGCCAGCCTAACACACATTCATGTGGATTTCAGACAGACAGAAATAGCGACAGCAGATGGAGGCAGCAGCTTAAAGGGCGGAGTACAATAGGCGAGAAGAACATCATATGTGTCCTCTTGAGCTGTTGTGTTGAAAGGATGACAGCTGGAATTTGCTGTGACTGGTTCAGATAAGCCTTGCCTAACTGTGCGACATCCTCCAGACAAACTCTGCTCCTTGTAAAGTCCATCCAATTGTACACGAAGAACCAAAACACAGAACATTCACTTACACTTCACGTAATGATTTGGATTTACAGCACAGATGTTGAAGTTACAAGCCCCTTTTTAAAATGTCAAAGTAATTCAGTGCAGATCAGAAGAAATGAGACATTCTTTTGTGTTGTTATTATGCAGCCAAAAAAAAATAACTTTTGAACTTTTGAAATGTCAGATTTTAACACTTAGCTGCAACACAGGACAAAGTTGGCCCTCACTGTCTCAAAGTTTCAGCAAACTCCAAACTTTTAATGTCATTCTGTCTTGACAAATAGCATATAAAAAGGAAACAGCATCAATCTCAAGTCTTATTTGACTTCAGTCAGGTGCCTTTGATGGAATCAAACATGCGATATCAAGGATGCGATCAAAAGTTTTGGGGCATTTGGACAAAAACTTCAGAAGCAGAGTCTTATGTAAAACCCATTTGAAATAACTTGAAGATTTTTCTTTTGTTTTGTATCGCACGGCTTTTAGCTCTACCCTGGCGCTGCAATCTGCTCATTCTCCCGCTGAAAAGCACATTATTTGGAAAAGTCTCAGTTCCTCGAGATATTGAAATCAGCTGGCATTCTGTGCCTGGGGGATTGCCTCTGAGGATTACGCAACAAGAGCACTGCATGTATAATGAAGCTATTTGGTACAGACTTTATCATGGCATGCCTCATAGTCTGTCCCTCAAACCTTCAAACGTATTGCACATTTACCTGCAACACTTGATGAAACACTAATGATGCTAATGATACTGAATATGGGGGTATCAGTGATGTCCGTTTAGCACTGTGAATAATGGATGACAGAAAATGCTGGATTTCTATCAAAGTGTAGACTCATGGTTCATTAAATTTGATATTGGGAGAGTATTATCAGTCTTCTTAACTAACTTTTGCAACCCGTTAAATACAGACGCTTGGTCAGCGACCCTCTGCATCTGATACCGACACACCGAGACCTTGAGCATCTTATTTTGTCTCGTCAGTCACGTGACTCGTTAGGCATTCGCTTGTTTCATGAGCCATTAGTCAATAAAGTTAGCATTTCATTTTTTTTTTAATTCATTGACCTTACATGTAAACTGATAATCGCTCACTGTCGCGCAACACTTTCCCTGTGGTGCAATACCGGAGTAACTGAGGTGGAGTTGACCTGCAGGTCTCCTGTGAATGTATCGTTCCCCTGATTAAAGGTGGGAATGAGCCTACTATATCTTATGTCTTGCACCCTCCCTGTTCATTAAACCACGACTGACTTGAACTACATTATGTATTCATCCAAGCCAAAGGTAATCTATAGTGTCGGAATGAGATGATATTGATTTCAACCCTTTGAGGCTTGTACTTTCTCTTTTTGTAAACAAAGGAATCACCTAAGCCCTGATGTTCATGTGGTTCCCTTATCCTTTTTGTGAGTGACTCTCTTTTCTTTGATTGGATGTAGGGCTGTTATTTATGGCACCGGTCTGATTTATGAAGTATCCCTTTCTGGCATTATTCCCTCTCTCTCGTTCTCCACTGTTTGCTGGGCTGCCCTGCTGACGCCATCACGTACAGCCATAAATCAGCCATCCAAGAGCTGGGACCCTCTCTGCCAGGCCCCTCTAATTGATTACACCACGCTGGGTAAGTGTCACACGATGAAGAGAGAGACCAATTCAATTAGGCTGGCTTTGCAGGACATAAATACGTAGCATATGCTGCCCTGGATAAAAGGATGTCTTCAAGCGCAATGAAAAAGGTACTGAGGGTAAGGAAGGGGAGGATAATATAGGTGAGGGAGGAGTGTCACTCTGATAAAAGTAATTGGTTCGCTATGATAACATTCTGCACACTGGGTTGCTTGTGTGAGTTCATAATGGATGTGTATGTTCAACTGAAGGAGAGCGAGAGAGGGAGGCAGATTTACAGGGAATGAGGATGCCTCAGGAGGCAGGACTGAGCTGGGGATCCTCTGTGTAGCTCAACTGAGCAAAAACAGTTTTTAGCCTGAAATATCTCAGCAACTATCGGAGGGATTGGAATTCAGTTCAGATACATTATATTATATGTTGATAATAATAAGTGCATATATAGAAAATGGTTTTAACTTTTAAAAACCTTAAATACAGAGATTTATTGAAATACATCCCACTCCAGAAGAAATATCTTCATATAACTCAGTCCTCCCCTTTCCTATCAGTATGAAGATTATTATATTATAATGCTTTTAACTACAGTTACAACATTTGTAAACACTTTCACAAGCAAAGACATAAAGACACTGGACATGTAAGAGCAGAGAGTCAAGACATTTCCTAATTTCATCAGACAAACCCTCCTTATTCAGAATGGTAACTCGGATGGCAGATAAGTCAATACTGAATACACTTATCCATTTCTGTAAAGGCCAAATCGTGATGGATTATTTTCAATTTAGCATATCAGGGTCTGCGCTAATCTCCTGTGGTTAGAGATGAGCTATCTCACATCACAGAGATGAGTAATGGAACTATAGCTGTTTGTGTGAGGCCTCCTCAATGCCACTGCTCTTTGGGGAATCAAGAAGATACCAGCTCATCCTGGATCAGATCATGGTCATGCAATTTATTCACAGAACTGCTGTTTCGAAATCACATCTACATATGAGATAGTGCCTTTAAACCTATTCAATCTATGTATTTTCTTCTGTAGTGTAGCCACAGTAACTATACCCTTTCAGCAAGCATAGAACTTCATTCATCATAAGGTTAACATTAAGTTTAATTAGGATCTGTAAATTCATTCCATCGATATAGGCAAAAAAACACATTCTGCCATAATCAGGACATTGTGATCATATATAAGAGCACTACACGAGAAGGTTGCCATCCTTATGAAAATATCCAAATCTGAGTATGCTAACACTTGCTAATTAGCACTAGTACAACTGAGACTAATAGGAATGTCTTTAGTTTTGCAGGTATTTGGTCGAACTGAAGTATTGGAGAGATTAAAGTTTGACCTGATGATGGCACTAGATGATAAGTCAGAGGATTACCAATGTCATGACGATACATCCTATAGGAACCATGAATATCTGTCCAAATGTTGTGCAATTTAACCCATTAGACATTGAGCTATTTCCCCATTTAAGTGTAAGGTTTGACCTGCTGGAGGCACTGTAGGAAAAGACAGAGGATCATTAAAGCTAGTAGGATTCAGCCTCCAGGGAGCATGAACGTCTGTACAAAGTTTCATATCAATCCATTTAATAGTTGTTGAGGAATGTCAGTCTAGACTGAAGTGGTGGACCGAGACACCGACTGTGATTGCCATCTCTAGAGTGATGCTGTCAGCCTGGCTATATGGTCAATAGTGACCTGAAGCACAAGACCGGCTGTCCTTACTTTATTAACACGTAACTGAAAATGTTGTCCTTCCCTAATCTGACCACCACACTCAGTACAGGAACCCCAGTATGGAATGGCAAAGTCCTGCTCTTTGACCACCCATTAATTCAAAATGCAATTGGCAAAAACAACTAGTATGAACACAAGTCATGGAAAACAGCATTGAGAGTTTATATTATATTATTTTGGTTCATTACTCTACTTCAAGAGATGACATGCAATTTGTGATAAATTGCACTGTGTAGAATATAAAGGCCATTACAAATGAGACTCCTTATTTCAAATGCATAATTAATGTTTCATCCTCTGAATCTGTAGATGCAAGGGCTTACATGCTTTTTTATTACAGAAACTTGCTCTTCCTTTGAGTTGCTCTTGAATTAATTTGTAAGATCACTCTTATGGAAGTAATAAGTCGAGTCCATACATAGATACTTGTACTTTAAACCTGCTGATGCAACAAACGTTTTACAGCATGAGGACAGTACTTAAAACTTAGAGTAAGTTGTTACACAATGTTAGTGCATGTTTTAAAAGACTGACAGATTGATTAGAGTTATACCTGGTTACGATTTTGTGTTTTGGATCCAAACTTCTTTTATCCTCGTGCTAATAAGATCAATCATCTGACAAACGCATTTAAACCTCACGCTAAACATAAATAATTAATAACACTGTGGACTCGACTGACTTTTACAGCAGAATTAACAAGTCACAAAAGTCCCCTGAGAGAAAGAGAGAGGTGTGTACCCTCTTCCTCAGGTTTACAATAAACATGTACAGTGATACCTCAGTGCAAAGCTGGACGGGTAAATAATGCTTTGGTAGGGAGCCATTTGGAAGCAAAACATTGAAGCAGGGAGGGGGTTGAGGGTGCCTGAGCGCCGGCTGAGGCTCTTGCACTGATCTGCGCTGCATGATGCAGACAACAGAGGAGAAAGAAGAGGAAGAGGAGGAGGGAGAGAGGAAGGAGGAGCGAGCGGGGTAACCGACTGGTTGAGGCTCGCAGCTCGCAGTCTCTCCTCTGTGTTTTGTGAAGCAGCTTCTCTCTGCTTCTCCTCTCTTCCTCGCACACACCGCCTTTCCTACTCTTTTGCCTGAGCTGACAAGAACAGACGTAGCGACAGAGGGCTCACTCGCTCCAACTACTCACGCACCATGCTGCCCTGGAGAAGGAATAAGTTTGTTCTGGTGGAGGATGAGGCCAAGAGTAAACCCAAGAGCCTGGGGACTGGGCTGACCTACCACTCCATCCTCTCCTCTCTTCTGCGCTCCTGTCCGGACCTGCTGCCTGACTGCCCCTTCGACTGGGTGGGCAACATCTTCCATACCAAACGACAAAAGGTGGAACTGAACAAAGAGGAGCCTGTTTACAATGTGCGCTACCTGGGGAGTGTGGTCACTATCACGGCAAAGGGAGACGGCTGCACCCAGGAGGCTGTAGCAAAGATCTGGGCGAGGAGCAACTACGGGGAGCAGAGTGTCAAGATGAGGTTGTCAGTGGGACTGCAAGGCATCCGGATGAGTGCTGACAAATCTGGAAAAAAGAAACCCATCCATCTTTACTCTCTGAACAGAATCACCCATTGCGGCACTGACCCGTCACGGCCAAAGATCCTGGCTTGGATCTACAGGCACCAGGTCAAGAACATGGCCGTGGTGCTCCGGTGTCACGCCGTCCTGGTCAGTAAGTCGGAGAAGGCCCGGGCCATCGCCAACAGCCTCTACCAGAACGCCTCCTCTGCCTTCAGCGAGTTCAAGCGGCTGAAGCGTCAGAGCGATTTCCGGCACTGCCAGCAGCAGCTGCTGGGGGAGGAAGCGGTTCCCCTGATGCCGCTGAGGAGGCTGCTGAACGGGCAGTGCCACTACAGACCGCCTGCCGACAATCCCGGGAGCACCACCCGCCTCTGCTCCATCACGGAGGAGGAAGAAGAAGAAGAAGAAGAAGAAGAAGAGGACGATGAGGACAGTGAAGATGAGAAGCAGGAGATAGAGAAATCAGTGGAGGATGTAGAGGAGCAGCAGGGGAAACAGATTTACACAACAAACACAGACCCGACTCAGTTATTATCAGAGTTGGACATTGGGGATATTGCCAGACTGGAGCAGTGCCAAATCAACTTTGTCTGTGACAGCAACAACAACACATTTACATTTGTAACCTCTCTGGTGTGACTAGAGTAACACATTCCTCTCTTAGCCCCTCACTGGTACCCGACTCAGGCTCACTCCTGCCCCGTCCATGTAATGTGAAGTGTTTACCAGAAACTTCTACTACTACCCGGGGGATGGAGAAAAAGGCGGACGATCGTTCTGTGGGAGTAATTTCTGTTCTGGCCAGGTGGCTCAAATGCCGGTTTGACTGTTGCAGTTTGGGAAACTGCGTGTTTACAAAGAGGGCTGGTGATGCTCAGACGAACGATATAGCACAATGACGAATGAGGACAACGGTTTCAGAAAAAAAAGGAGAGCGCTGATGCTGAGATCACTGGGTCACATATTGAACACGGCACCAAGCAAGATGTTTTCATTAGTCTTCTGTGGTTTTATTTTGTGAGTATGATTAAAGCCGTGTTTGCCAGCAGGGCCATTTTTTCAGATCGACTTGTAATATTTTTTCAGGGATGTTCTTTGTAAATTTATGTAATTTTTCTAGTATGACAATCCTCACTAAAATCGTTTGCAGACTGACCTTTCCGAGTGCTTACAATCGCGGGAACTTTATTACGGTTTTACTAATGATCACGGTCAAATAATGAATAAGGCTATAATTTAGGAAGCAAGCCATTGAGTCGACGTGTTTACTGCTGCCATTTGTTACGGTCCTTATCATTTATGCATGCCGTGTCAGCAGTAACCTTTTCGTGCTGAGCTTTTGTCTTATTCATGTGAAACCTTTGATCTTTCGGCTTTTAAAATTAACACTGTGATAAATTTGTGGACAGGGATAAAACTGTTCACAACTGTTCAATGTCTAATTCATGTAATGCATTGCTTTATATATATCTATTGCAGTGTCACCTGTCTTGCCAAACAACAACAACAAATCAGATCTTATGGCTTTGCTCTTTTGTAGCCAAGTTTTGCTAATGCATATTTTCCACATGAGCCCCGATGGACAATTACAATTTAACACAAACTGTTTTGAATATGACTTTAGTTAATTTCTTGTTGATAATATCTGTACAACCGTCTAAAGATGCATTGTGATTATTACGAGATGAAGCTATTTATTTTCCAAATATGATGAATAAAAATGACCCTCACTTGGGGTTTCTTCTTGAATCGCAGGGGAGGGTATTTCTAGATGTTTTTGAAGAGATTATTCAAATGAATCCAACATCTTTGCATTCCACTAGTGAGCATTTGCATATTTCCTGATTTGAAAATGTGTCTGACCTACACTTCAAAGAGAAAAAAACAACATAATTACACCAGCATGCATCTGCTTCGTGAGCTATACATCTGCATGAAAAAAGTATTTTTGCCACAAGAAAAGACACAACTTAAAACTGCCAGTCAATCCCATTATTTGTTAATGTGGTTTGAGAAATGTCTGCAGGCCTTGTACTGGCTTCTCAGCCTTTTTACTCTGAGGGGAGCGATTAATCAGCGAATTGAATTGTTCAGGAAATGAACATAAAGCACCTGGCTCGGCAGGACTGCTGTCAGGCTCTGACGGACGCGAGTGATCCAAATCGGGGACCAGGAAGTTGACTCACCCATCAACCATTTTACTGCAAACGTCAGCCATTTCAGTGATGACGGAGTCTTTAACATCTTTTCACAAACATCGGCGAGTGACGACAATGACACATTTAGAACCGAAGCATGTTTGAACTCTGGTGTTTTACAATTGGCATCCCTGTCTTTTAAAAACAATGTATTTGTTTAATATATTCCACCTTATGTCATCACAATATTACATTGTAATGCAATACATATAGTAATAATACCCTGTGAAATTATTGAAAATAATTATTGTTCATAAATTCAGTTTAATTATCTTACATAACAACATCGAAAGCTGTTTGATTTGACAGTGGAGAGTTCTCATTAAGAATTCTTCTTTTGAAGAGGAATAGGTGGCGTTCTGTTGATGCATCAGAAAAAAACACAATCATTTTAAATCGGTGGATTTAAAATGATTCTGATGGATTGTTCTGAAGGGATACTTTCAGCTGGATCAATATTTTTTTTTTCTGGGACTAAGCCACCTCTGAAAAACAACAGGCTGTAATGTCAGAAGATAGATAATAAAGGATTCCCGTGTCCTTGCAACAAATCATCTTGTAGCAAGGATAACTACACATTGTGTATATTAAGGGAAACCATTTTTTTATTGCCATACTTTTTATTTTCCCTCCATTTTAATCAGTTCGACAGGCTCCTGTTCTGCTTATATAAAGTCACACGCACGCACACACACACACACACACACACACACACACACACACACACACACACAAACACAGTATACAAGGTGATAAAGTCAGTCATGTATGCTCACTGACATTCATGCAGGAATGTTTTGTGTCCGATATGCTGCCAATGTTAACAAGTATTGGTTAGCAGAGGAACCATGGTGCTTTTGTGTTAACACAACTCTTGTCAGGCAAGCAGAATTGGAGGGAGCAGATGGCAGCAGCAAGGTGCACGCTGGGTTTTATCACAGCCATCTTCCAAAATAATAAGGACTCAAGCTCAGATCCAAAGCTTGTTGCTGTTTTGTCACTTCATTCAGCCTCAGGAGATGCTCTTACAGAACACAAAATCGAATCAAACGTGGCACGCACTGGCCTGTCAAATATCACATATAATCGTGCCATTTTACAGCAGGGTGTCTTCGGAGAGCCAACGCGCTGCTTGTGCCTTGCACACAGCTGTTCAAAAGCTTCCTCATCCCAATGCAGCGTCTGTGAAGCAAACATAGGGAGAGTGACAGCGCCAGGGGGCCGGCTCGTCTCCCATCACGACAGGGAGGAGCGGAGGAACACAATGTTGTGCCCGAGAGCAGCTGGCAGCAGGTGGCAGTCCGTTTTGTTCCAGTGATAATTGTAAAAAAAAAAAAAGGTGTTGAGCAGCTTCTGTGTGAGGATGGCAGAGAGGATGGACATTCTGCATTTCTGCAGACTTTGCCCAAGGAAATTACCCACAATTCATAGCAATGTGACATTAAACACAGGGTTATCAATGGAAGCATGGACATGTAAAAAAAAAATGCAAACGAACAGGACAGCACATCTGTTTTCATCTACTCAGAAACATTAAGGATTAAAGATGGAACATAAAAACACATGAAATCAGAGGAATGGAAGCAGAGAATATATTACACTGATTTATTCATCAAACATTTAATTTTGTCATTGAAGCTGTTTTGAGAAAAAATTAGTAAATATTTGAAATGACCGCTTATCTTGTGAGGAAAGAGCCTGGAAGACCATCAAATCAATCAGGGAGTAAAAAGTTAAAATAAATACCCACAATTGTACATATTGTTTGACCTTGTTATGGTAACGTGCTGCCGCAAAGTGCTGTCCCATTCATATTTACACCATTTCAAGCCCTTACAGTCTCTCACACTCAACCATTAAGGTGACATCGAGTCCCTGAGGGTTCAGGGTTTGAGGGGGACATTGGGATTGTGCCGAGCCCATTGGCCTTTTTTCACAGCAGCCATTTTGACATGTCATTGGAAGGTAAACATGTGTAATTAATAACATTAATTATGGCCCTGTTCCATGTACGTGGGCCCGGGCACTAATATTGTGCATGCTGGCTCACTGGAATGTCTGTGACACACTCAATAGAACGGGAACATAATTCATTTCATCAAATACACCCACACAAGCCACAGCCGTTCCTGTTGAGTGTAAAGAATCCCGCAGGAAGATTCTTGAGTGCTAGAGAGTATAACTATACAGCTAACTAATTCATGAGAATCAGGGATTCGTTACTGCAATAAAACCTTTATGGTTTCATACCATAAAAACATAAGCAACACCAAAATTGTCAGGGAGAAATTCTGCAATGAAAAATGATGCCTAAGGAAATGCATTTTGCTTAATAATGGTGTCCAGGAAAGTGAATGATATCTCCGTCGTCTCTTTTCTACAACAGTGTGTGTCAGTCGGCTTCCCTGCTCATCCCTGCACTCATGTTTGCTGCTGAGTTTATTGAAAATGAGCCACAGTAGATGTCCCCTTTCCACCGTGATTTCACTCTTACACCTGTTTAAATAATAATACGCAAATGAGAGCAGATTCTTTTATTAAACCTATAATGTAATAACCCTGGCACACACCACCTGATGTCTTTCTACCACAGGCTACAGAACGGGATGATTGCAGGAAGGTTGCAGATATCTTTCGTCCCCTGACACCATTAAACAGACTGATTATGAAATCATCAATAACCTGAGAGCACAGCATAGTGTGTTCTTTTATGGCACCCAATTGGAGACGGTGCAGCTTGTGTCCTCGCGGGGTCCGCTTTAATTGTTTTTGTTTGTTGTGCGTCAGCCGCATCGCTGGTTGTAATGGTGGGGTCTGGTTTCACGCTGCATCAACCTTGTGCGACACGATGACCGCTGTAACTACATACTGACATCAGCAGCGCTCACAGAAAAACACAGCTTTGGATAGAAAAAGCTAAATATAGAGACATTTTTCTGCATGTGATTTTGAAGGAATACTTTTTGAGAAAAATTAGCTAATCTACTTCCATGACTCCCCAGATGTAGACTAGACATGGGCAATCATAAAATCAATAATCACAAGCTACTCATTATTCGATTAAAAAAATCATAGAGATATGTTTATAGAAACGTGGGTGGCTGCATCACTTCCGGAACATTTTCTCTACTTTTGTACTTTTGTTTTTGCCAAAACGGCTCTGACATATTTACTTGACCCGTCACATGACTGTTGACAAACTTAGAGTGCTGGGCAGCGTCAAAAGTCCCAAAACACGCTGTGGTCAAAAGGTAGGCTGGCAGATTAATAGGCAGGGGAAACTGTTCAGCACAAAGGCTGATGAGAGAGACTGATAGGGGGGGGGGATGAGGGACAGGTGGGCAGGCAGATGAAGTGCAGGTAGTGACTTAAGAGATGGGGGTCATAAAACATGGTAGACTCAGCCTTAACGGTTTGAGTGCTGAGTATCTGCTCTGAGTTCAACCATTAAGTGACCTATGTATACCTACAAGTAGGTATTTCTGGTGTTATTTCTGTGGAGATATCAATGTTTAAAGTCAAGAAAACTGCCTTGCCCACAAATTTGAGGGCATATTAAGGAGTATAGCAAAAGAAGGCTATACGCTGTAGGTGGGTGATTTCAACATATTGACCCCAGGAAACATACATTGAACATTTGACTCAGAGATAAAACTTTGCTGAGAGCGTAAAATCCTTTGAAAGGTCTTGTTGATGTGCCATTTAAGAAGATATTAAACTTGGGAACATAGGACCCTATATGCTCCGGCAAGATTTAGCGTGAGGTTTTGTGAGCTCTAGAGGTGTGCGTAGGCTTTTTTTTGTTTTTTAACCTAAGTTTCCTGGCTGTAGCTTCATACTTAACAGACTAATATGAGAGTGGTATCAATCTTATCATCTCATTTTCAGCAAATACGGGTATTTAATGAAGTGTCAGTATCAATTCCTTCAAAAAATGTGAGACACAAGTGCAATGAAATCAGTCCCAGAATGGATCAAGTATTTCAAATATGGCACATAATAAACTATCTTAGATTAATAACATCCACTGAGTTGCAAAAAAGATGATGTACCCTTTAGATGTCTTCTTTGTCTTTCTTTCAAACTCACTGCTGCAGATGGAGAGAGGCATTATTACAGTCACGAAACACCAAGGGGCCAGGGGAGTAATTGGCTGCAATTATCACCACATTTGCCGCTATTTGCAGTAACAGTGGAGGTGTTGTCATTATACCTGTAGGTCTCTGGGCTCAGTCTGATGCAGCATTGTCAGCTCTTCCATGTCTTAGTAAAAGGCACAACTAATATCATGGTGAAAGTGTTGTGAAGTAGAAGAAAACAAGGCTCCACAAAAGAGAAAAATATTCCTATTTACCCCTCAAGCATTTTGTCGGACAGCATAGAGGCAATCATTCCAGCATCCGTTTGTCTCCAAGTTTCCTATTACCTGAGGAGCAGTGAAACAAGGTACTGGAGAGCAATCACTTAGACACACACACACACACACACACACGCACACACGCACACACACACACAAACAAACAAAAAGAAACTGGGCCAGGACACATAAACATGCA